TATCTACTAGTTTTAATTCAGTGTCATGGGAAGGTCTTGTGGTCTACATGGACAATTCAATGATTGAATTTTGACTATTTAAAGGGATATTAAAATTGAGTTTTTGTCTGTTGACATATTTTCCAGAGTTAGATGCGGGGGAAAAAATACTAATTTAACCAGTCCAGTCATTCTGCTAACCTGGCTGTACTCCTTTAGCTTAGCATCAAACACAGTAAGTGAATGGATCCAACTAGCATTGTAAGTAAAAAAGTTCAGTTGTGATCCCATTTCTGCTTGTTGACCTAAATATTCAGACTGACTGCAAGTGATTCTATCACAGGCATCATTTCAGATGAGACTACTTTATGACAAAGCACAACTGTAAGCTTCTGCTGAAATTAATTTCAAATAACTGTTTGGCTGTTTGTTTAAAAGTTGTTAATAAAGGTTTCTGAAAATATTATCACAGCGACCAGCATCGCGGCATGCGTTGCAATCGATGACACAATACTCCCTATCTCAATTTTGAAATTATTTGCACACTTGTGTACTACGCACTTGAAGCCTTGCTGCACACTTTTCCCAAGTGCACTTAGCTGAAGTCCGCAGGGCACGGTGCGAGTGTTGAGACTGGGCTGTAGACACTATTGGTTTTACTCAAAGAATACAGCTTCACCCACTCCTGCCATCATACATTAGTGCTGACTTATGGCAGAGAGTGTGAAGAAATAATATTTCAATCAATCAAATCTTATTTGTATAGCACCTTCCACTGCCTTTACAGAAGCCCAAGGTGCTGAACATAACATCAAAACAACAAAAGAGCAAAGAGACTACAAGACAGATTAAAACTGCATAAAAGAGTAACTAAAATAACAAAACAGATACGATAAAAGACTAAAATTCTAAAAATCCATATTACATAAAAGCCAAGCGATAAAAATAAGTCTTCAAATGACTCAAAGACCTGCAGAGATGGGGACTGTTTGACAACAAGTGGGAGCCTGCTCCATTGTTTCGGAGCTAGGACAGAAAAGGCCACATCACATCTTGCTTTCACTCTTGTTTTTGTGACGATGAGCAAATCTTGGTTAGCTGAGCGAAGAGAGCACATATCATAACTTTATTTATCTATCTAGTTTTTTATCTTGATTATTTATCTAAGTTTATTTATATATTTCTCTCGAATACTTATCTGTTCTACTGGTTTTCTAATTTTCTGTTGTATGTTAAGGAGGTCCCTCTCAAAAACCAGATGTTTCATCTCAAGGGGCTTTATCCTCATAAAATATCTGAGCAGATCTATCAGGATTTAGGGGTGGGGGGTGAACTGGAGCTCCCAGAGAAAACCCCCCATGCAGCACAAAGAGACACAAAAATTATTCGGACGAATATTTTCTGTGACATAATCCTTGTGTTGCATTTTTTTTTTTTTTTTACAGATTATTGGGTACACGTGGTGGTGCTGTGTGCCAGGGAAGGGACGTGATTGATAGTCACCCTTGATGGAAATGCTTTTCTAATTTATCTAAAAACTAACAATGAACACTTTCAGCATTCAAATAAACAAATAAACACCGGACTAAGTTAGATTTTTTTCAGAAGTCACTCAAATTTAAGCTTCATTCTGTTCTTAAATTGCTGCCATTTCAGCTTCAGTTTAACGTTTATTCCAGATGGGACCGATGTGTGTCTTTTTTCTGGTGGAATTGATTCAGGAATACTAGTAAGTAAGTAAATAAGTAAAGGTTATTTATAGAGCGCCTTTCACAGATATAAATCACAAAGCGCTGTACAACATGAGTAAAATCAGGGCAAAATCAATAAAAGCAAAATAAAAATCAAAGCTGTGAAACCAGCACATAGGCTGCCTAGCCTATAGCTGTAAGTCCTGGGATAGGCAGTCTTATCCTGCTTAAGGATACTGCATATGATTTTACTGGGTGACATGCTGGACAGGGTAATTTCATAAATTTTTTTAAATAACTTCTTTTTACACAAATGAAGTCCAAATTTATCTGCCCATCTAAACGATTTCCCATTGCTGTTTTGGGGAAAGACAGTCTTATCCTGCTTTGTTAAACTGGGTGATGTCTTACTAAGGGACATCCTGGGAAAGACAGTCTTATCCTGCTTTGTTAAACTGGGTGATGTCTTACTAAGGGACATCCTGGGAAGGACAGTCTTATCCTGCTTTGTTAAACTGGGTGATGTCTTACTAAGGGACATCCTGGGAAGGACAGTCTTATCCAGCTTTGTTAAACTGGGTGATGTCTTACTAAGGGACATCCTGGGAAGGACAGTCTTATCCAGCTTTGTTAAACTGGGTGATGTCTTACTAAGGGACATCCTGGGAAGGACAGTCTTATCCTGCTTTGTTAAACTGGGTGATGTCTTACTAAGGGACATCCTGGGAAGGACAGTCTTATCCTGCTTTGTTAAACTGGGTGATGTCTTACTAAGGGACATCCTGGGAAGGACAGTCTTATCCTGCTTTGTTAAACTGGGTGATGTCTTACTAAGGGACATCCTGGGAAGGACAGTCTTATCCAGCTTTGTTAAACTGGGTGATGTCTTACTAAGGGACATCCTGGGAAGGGCAGTCTTATCCAGCTTTGTTAAACTGGGTGATGTCTTACTAAGGGACATCCTGGGAAGGGCAGTCTTATCCAGCTTTGTTAAACTGGGTGATGTCTTACTAAGGGACATCCTGGGAAGGGCAGTCTTATCCAGCTTTGTTAAACTGGGTGATGTCTTACTAAGGGACATCCTGGGAAGGACAGTCTTATCCAGCTTTGTTAAACTGGGTGATGTCTTACTAAGGGACATCCTGGGAAGGACAGCCTTATCCAGCTTTGTTAAACTGGGTGATGTCTTACTAAGGGACATCCTGGGAAGGACAGTCTTATCCTGCTTTGTTAAACTGGGTGATGTCTTACTAAGGGACATCCTGGGAAGGGCAGTCTTATCCAGCTTTGTTAAACTGGGTGACAAATCATCGTCATCGTCACTTTCAGAATAAGAGCTGGAAAAGTCAAAATCACTATTGTGTGAAGATGAAAGGTTAGCACTAAATTGTTCACAAATCTTTACAAGTGACCAATACTCAGGTGTGAAAACATCTGACTTCTGCAGCACAGAGAGATCGAGTTCATATCCACATAAGTCTTTGTCTGCAGGCTTGTAAGAAGGTTTATTGTCCTCTGCAGCTACCGACTCTCCTTCAACTGAACTCTCTTGTGAAGCTAGGGCCCTTTGAGTCGCTGTCCTGTCCTTATCAAGAGGCCCGATCTGAAGTGTCTCGTCACCCAGATCAAACACATTTGTTTCAACATCTCCTTCATCCAAAGCATCTTCATCTTGACTGAGTTCATCCTCACTAAATTCATCCTCTGAAACTAAACATTCAGCTTCAGATTCCTCTGAAGATAATACATTTTCAAACATATTTGGTTTAACATCATCGTCGGCTGAAGCTGATGTTTCCTCCTCACTAAATTCATCCTCTGAAACAAAATATTCAGTTTCTGCGGCCCCTAAATGTCCCTGTGACTCTAGCAGATCCTGAGTGTCTTCAGAAGTGATGGAGCAGTAATCTTCTATTGTGTGTGGAGCGAATGATGCTTCATCCTGACCTAATCCATCCAGAAGATTTACGAGTTCTGCTTCTTTTAGCTTGAAATTTTCCTTTAAATGGAATAAAACTTGAGGGTCGCTTTTATCTAAAGACAGCTCAAGATTGTCAGGATTCTGACCAAACAAATCCACGTTGACGTCTTCATAAGAGACAGATTTGTCATCAAAGATTTCCTGTGAAGCCAGAAACGTGTTTCTTGTTTCAGAGGCAAATTCTTCAGAAGACAAAAACTGAATAGAATCATCTTCTTGATCGAATAAATTCGTTTTCCCATCACTTTTTTGTGAAGCTGGTATCTCGTCTTCAGTTTGTCCTAAATTTGAGTTTGAAAAATGGAAAGCTTGAATTCTGCTTTCATCAAACGGCAACAACTCACGAACATCTGCTGCTTCAAACAAATTTGCTTCGTGTGTTTGAGACGTTACAGGCACACAATCAGCGCCATTCTCTGAAACTAACAAGAATTTCTCTTCATCTGTTCCTGATTCCTCCTGGGAAGTTGTACTGGCACTCCCATCAGAGGAAAATATCTCATCAGGCTCTGAATCAAAGAAATATCTGTTTTGTGAATCGTCAGACTCATATTGGTTGATTTCCTCGTGAGCCTTGGCAAATTTCTCATCTGGAACAGCTGTAACTTGGGATTCATCTTTCCAGAGACATCCCGTTAAAGTGACAACTGTTCCTTCTAAGTTTCTGATATTTTCATGGTTGGACGCTTCTGCAGTCTTACAGCCGGCATTACCTGATGCACCGTAGTCCAGCAGAGAAGAGAATTCTCTTTCTGGGTCAATAAGTGAATGTTGGTCATTTTTCTGGGCATCCGGTGTTTCTGTGGGGCTGGCTAGGGATTCAGACAGGCAACCTCCCATTTCCTCAGGGAAATGTAGCTCTGAAATCTGAGATTCATCTCTCCCAGGATAAGCGACTGAGATTTCTTGTAAATCTCTGTTTCCATGGCTGTAAGGTGTCTCTCTGCCTGGACATTCAGAAACCCTCCCCTCACCGTGAGAAGTAAATAGAGTAGTTTCTCTGTCAGAGTTGGTTCTGGGTTCAGGTCCGATGATAAAATTGTCTCCAGACACTGACTGGAATAATTTTTCTAAAGCTTCATCAAATTCTTTGTTTTCTTGCTTTTCGAAGAAATAATCAAAGGTTTGTCTAACAGTTTCAGTAAAATAGTTTCCAAAAAGGACGCCTGCGAGTAAAAAAAGCATCTTGCTACAAGACTCTCTGAGCAGCGACTGACCTGTTCCGTGTGCTTGAGCGAGCTACCGCTGGTGTCATAAAGACTAGGGAGATCACGTGACGTCCTGACGTCATCAAAGGAACGATCACGTGACGTCCAGACTGCCCAGTGCCCACCTACTAGCGTCTTACGTCACCACGTTAACCAGGCAGCGGAAGTCATCGCGTGAGCTCGGAGGAAGAACTTAGAAGCTTCCTCGCGTGTCGGGAGTCCGCGAGGCGCGTTTGGGTCTGTTTACGCTCACGTGGAGCTAAAAGTTAGCATTAGGCCGCGTTTAGAGAAGTCTCCGCTCGGATCTCCACTACAGTTCTGCTAGAACCCGCGCTGGTTCCGGTCCTCAGCATGGCGGTCAGAGCTTCTTTTGAGAAGAACAACGAAGTCGGCTGCTTCGCCAAACTGACCAACACCTACTGCCTGGTGGCCATTGGCGGTTCAGAGAACTTCTACAGGTGAGTGTGATACGTCACGGACTACTCTAAAACAAACGTGACGTCACAGTGTCGTGTTTGTGCGTCTGCAGCGTGTTTGAAGGAGAGTTATCAGAAACCATCCCGGTGGTTCACGCCTCCATCGCAGGCTGTAGGATCATCGGCAGGATGTGTGTGGGTGAGTGGGACAGCACGTTCTCTGGTGGTTCTGCTGGTTCCGACCCGGTTCTGTACCTTCATCCTCCTCCTCCTGTGAGCAGGTAACCGCCATGGCCTCCTGGTGCCCAACAACACAACAGACCAGGAGCTGCAGCACATCAGGAACAGCCTCCCGGACTCGGTGAAGATCCAGAGGGTCGAGGAGCGGCTTTCTGCCCTGGGGAACGTCGTCACCTGTAACGATTATGTGGCTCTGGTTCACCCCGACCTGGACCGGGTGAGGCGAACGGAAGTTGTCCCGTTGGAGCCACCAGTGAAGATGTAGACCAGGTGAAGGCTGCCTGTCGGCTTAACGCTGGTTTTCTTTCAGGAGACGGAGGAGATCCTTGCAGACACGCTGAAGGTGGAGGTCTTCCGTCAGACTGTAGCCGAGCAGGTTCTGGTCGGTTCCTACTGTGCGTTCAGCAACCAGGGAGGCCTTGTCCACCCGAAGACGTCCATCGAGGACCAGGACGAGCTGTCGTCCCTGCTGCAGGTCCCCCTGGTGGTGAGTGATGGTGTCTGCATGTGGAGTCTGGGTCCAGGTGGGTCCTCTACTCAGAACTTTGCTCATTTCCAGGCAGGTACCGTAAACCGAGGCAGCGAGGTTATCGCTGCGGGGATGGTGGTGAACGACTGGTGTGCGTTCTGCGGCCTGGACACAACCAGCACCGAGCTGTCTGTCATCGAGAGTGTCTTCAAGCTGAGTGACACGATGCAGCCGTCCGCCATCGCCACCAGCATGAGGGACTCGCTGATCGACAGGTACCAGAACCGTGTAGTCTGACAAGAGGTTTTAAACGTGTCGAATGGTCTGCATTTGAGATAGCGCCTGCCAGAGTCCTGGAATCCCCTAAGGCACTTTTCAACACCGTCATTCACCCAGTCACTCACATTCACACGGTGGTGGTGATGAGCTACGATGTAGCCACAGCTGCCCTGGGTCGCACTGACCGAGGCGAGGCTGTCGAGCACAGGTGCCACCGGTCCCTCCGATCACCACCTAACCCAGAAACGCCTTAATGGGCATTTCTCCTGCTAGACGTTCGTCAAAATAAAAGTCTACACTAACTGATTGTGTCGCACCACCATGGCAAAAAAAAAAAAAAGCCACCAGACCTATAGAATATGTTAATTAGATTTTTTAAAGATACTCCAACTTGTTCTGTTTGGGATTTTATTCCAGGCTACTGTTGGCCCACGCCTTACTGCCAGTAAAAAATGTTAACATGTTCACACTAGCTCGTTTTCTCTTTCTAAACAACCGAACCAGAACTCTCCAGCCAAGAACACCCCCTTCAACATAAAAGTCAAACCCTAACAAATCGTAACCCCTCACGTTATTGTAAAACAATGTAAAGCGTGAAATATACAGTCTATAACTGCGCACTTATACTAACCATAATCATAGTTAGAAATGAATTAAAATATGATGAAACGTTTAAATTTTACTTTATTTTGAAAAGCCACTGGCTTCTTCCTGTCTAGCTGCGGTGTTTCGGGTGAGCTTCTCATGAGAGACAGTCCAAAGTATAGGAGAAAAGTCGTGTCGTGCCTTATGGACAGTCTCCCGTTTGGAGTCTGATATTTAAACTGTGTATAAAGCAGGGGGCGGGACTTAAATGCAGGATCGGAGAGCGTGGAGCGTGCTCACGTCAAACCAGCAACACAAATGAAAGGGCAGGGTGGGCACAGACGATCAAGAACTGTTTTAAGGATGGAGAACAAGTAGATGAGCGGAGAGAATCTTATTTTGAAATATCGGAGGTGAAGTAACATTTCAGGAGCAAGTAAACAGAAGAGGTCGTTCCCCATTTTAGCAGCTGGCCGGATAATATTGGGGCGGGCCCCTCCCAAGTCTAGGCTGGGGCCCGTTGCCCATCCGAAGCTCCGCCCCTGGTTGTGATACGAGGTTCAACCTCCTCAGTAGCCTAGTGGAGTGTTCACCCTGGGACCAGGAGATCAGGGTTCAAACCCGGTCGGGTCATACCAGCTGCAGCTCGCCGCCCCCCATGGGGATGGGTCAGGTATCTAGATGTAACTCCACCAGTGTGTGGTGATGAGAGACTTTACCTTAGCTTAAATGTCCCTGGTCCAAGTGTAAGTGCGGGGGAAAGAGGCAACAAAATCCTGAAAACTGTCCGAGTTTGAACTTGCTGAGACAACTGTGGGACATGCTGGAGACCAGAACAAAGACTCGTTGTGACTAAACCGCTGAAGAAAACAAGCTGTTGGCCCCAGTTTGCTGATGGTTTAGTGACTCCATGCTAAGTTTACTCTGGCTTCTGTATAAAAGCGTGAATGTTGCAGCTGCAGTGTCTCCTTCCTGTTTCCTGTCACCGACTGAAGATGCTCCATTAACTCAACGGCATTTTCTCTGCTTGTTTCTCAGCATGGCGTAAAGCTGCCGCCTTTGACCGCTGCTGGGAGGACCAGATGTAAAACCTAGCTGCAGCCACAAACACCCGTTGTCCCTGAGCAGAAGAACCAGGCCTAGAGCCTGGTCTGGGGTTCTGCTGCGTGTCACCCAGGATCTAAACCGGACTTAAAACGAGCTCCTGGGATTCCTCGGAAAGCTGGCGAATGAGAACTCGTGTTTGTTTCTCACCAGGTTTTTGTGTTTTGAATGTAAGAAATCAGACTACGGGGATGCTTTCTGTACAATAAAACCAAACTCTTATCTGTTGAGTTCTTTATGAAGAGAAGCTGCAGGGTCGCTCCAGCAGCCGCTGCTCCTGAATCTGTTGAACAGAACCAGAACAACAGGAAGGAGTTCTGATTCTGGTGATCATTTAAAAACCAGAACGTTTATTTTTTTAATTTCTTTCCTTCAGGTGAACACCTGTGTTCAGGTACAAGAAAGGATGCAAATCTTTAAAGGCAACTTTTTATTTATTGGCAAAAGCTGTTTATGTACGCCACAACAGCGCCACCAGCAGGAAGCTTTAAGGAACAGTTTTGGTTTGGGGAAACGGCTAAAAAGTTTAACATTCAATTAAAACACCTGTAAATTAAAACCAATACACATTTATATGTAAAAGAAAACAAGTCCATTTGTAAACTGTTGTACGAAGAAAACAAAAGCATAATTGTTATTCTAACACAGTTATTTTTAATTAATGTGCAAAAGAAGCTCAGATTTCGTTTTAGCTCCACTTGGTGCTGCTGTAAAGATTATGTACACCAGCAGGGGGCGCCACGACATCCAGCTCTACAGGGTCTGTTAGAGCCAGTGCATCTCAACACACACACACTAGTGTCCTGTGACCCCGCCCCTTTCTCATGATGCGTTTCAGAACAACTGACCACATCCGGTTCAGAGTCCAGGTCACCAGACCAGGTTGTTTTAAAGTCAGCATGTGAGTACGTGCTGTTGTGCTTACAGAGGTGTGTGTGATCAGGTCTGAACTAAACTGGGAAATATTGCACTTTAGATCAGTAAACTGGTCTGAAAAACAAAAAAGCTGAAATGATGGATTTGATGCAGGACGCACCTGTGCTGAGTTTAACTTGACTCATGATGAGAACTAACGAATCGTTCTTACCAACTAAAGGTACGGCTTAGTTTGTAGGATTCCTCCAAAATAAGAGGACTTGAGCAGCAGTGGATAAAATAAAAGCACAAACAGGAAATCCTCTGGTGTCCGACCTAATCTAAAGCTCGGATCCCACTGTGCGATTTGTGACCGTCTTAGCCAAATCCCTCTTCGGGAGCATAATCGTGTGAAAAAAAAGCTGAACGTGAGGGCGATTTGCAAATCTGTGGTGGTCCGGTCTGCAGGGCTCTGCGACGGCTTTTTGAGCCTTCTCACAGCCAAAGACGGCCTCCGACAGTCTACGAGCATTCATCCTACGACTCCTGTCTGCAACCGACCAGAAGCAGTTTAAACTTGTTTAAAATGCGGATTATAAACGACACCAGTTTTAGTTTTGTTAATAGCCCAAGCTAAACCGGAGTTGAGCTAAAAATAATTAAACTAATTTTTAGACCATCAGCTGAATTGTGAAATCTAATTTTGTGAGAGTGAGACGAGAGCAGCTCACAAGAATAAAAAATAAAACAAAAACATAAAACCCCTTTTCTGTTGGTGGAAATCTCACATATTCAACCAATAAGGATGGTTCAGTAGCGTTTAGCTGCAGGGGGACACAGGAAGCTGCGCTGGGTCATGAGCTGACTCTATAAAGAAATGTTAACACGGTGCTTTATTTGATCTTTTCAGCTTTCTTTTGGATAGCGGTCTGCTTAGTGACGTATGCTTTCGGGAGGTGCGCTCATGACGCCGCGTGTCCTGCTGGAGCGAGACGTCATGCAGTCTGCCTCACAGGAATCTTGCGCCGTGCCGTGTGGCACAGTTCTGGAATTCTCACAATGCGACATGAACAATCTGCCGCAAATCGCACAGTGTGATCTAGGCTTAAGGAGCGGATGTTGGTTTTTCCTGTGAAATCTTCATCTGTCTTCCCTCCACCTGAAAATGCTCTGCCCCCTCCCTCCTAGCAGCCAAAGGTCTCCTGCGAGGCGTAGACCATGTAGAGGAAGCCGTCCTCGTCCCTCTCCTGCTCATAGATCTCAGAGATGGGGGTGGACACCGACACCATGCTGTGCTGGTTGACCAACAGGAAGAAGGCCTGGGTGGGGTTGAGCTGCAGCCGACGCCTAGCAAACCAGAAAATAAACGAGGGGTAACGGCTTACTGATGGCGTAGATTCATAACTTTGTGAGGTAAAGTTTTCATTTACCAAAACCAGAGACGTTTACGGAGGTAAATTGCACACAATTCTCCAATATATAAGAAGTGATTTTACAGAACCCCCCTGGAAATGCAGGGAAGTAAAAGTAATCAAAATTGCCCAAATTTATGATGTTAGATAAGAAATATCAGACAATGTTAATGATCCAAGAGAAGCTGAGCCTCCCAACAGGCCACTTGGCAGACAGGTTTCAGTTTACCTGATGATCTTCACCAGCTCGCTCATGTTGACGTGATCCGGTACCAGGAACTTGGTTTTGTCCAAAACTGGCAGCTGTTTCTCACCCTTATACCGCTCGATGATCACCTGCACACATGAAACCACGACGTTTAACAGACTGTGCCTTGCAAGCCTGTTGGAGAGCTCTCAAACATCCTTGACCAAGCAGTGTTATGTTAAATTCACAGCCCCCCCCCCCCCCACCCCCACCCCACCCCATTCAATCAGGGAAATAAAGTACAGAAAAATAATTTTACTTGCTGATAAAAAAGAAGCAGAAACTGCTTGGATGACCTGTTAGTGCCGTCAGCAACCGCAGCTTGCCCTCTGTGTCCAAATAATCCGATGATTAAATGGTAAATAGCCTGTATCTGTATAGTGCCTTAGGGTTCTACAACCCCCCAAGGCGCTTCACAACACAGTCATTCACCCATTCATACGCTGGTGGTGATGAACTACATCGTAGCTAAAGCTGCCCTGGGGCGCACTGACAGAGGCGAGGCTGCTGAACACAGGCGCCACCGGTCCCTCCGACCACCTCCAGCAAGGCGAGTTAAGTGTGTTGCCCAAGGACACAATGACAGAATTCTCTGGTCTGAGCCGGGATTGAACCTGCAACCTTCTGGACAACCCACTCTACCTCCTGAGCTGCTGCTGTCCCTTACATCCAAGCACAAACCCACAGAGGACACAGCTAAAGTTCAGAGTCAAAATGGCCGAACGTCCATTAACATGAGGCCTTTCCTAGAGCTAGCTTGTAGCTCTGGTGCTCAATAATTATTCATAATTTCAAGCATTTAATTACAGTTAAATCAAAGAGTTATAAAATAACTCACCCCCTCAGAGTTGTCATAAATGTTAGAAAGATCAGTCAAACCTAGAATGGCTTTTTGAACCAGGCTGTAAATGTGTTTATTTATGCTGTGAAACTGGCTTTTTTAACATGGGAGTCAAAGGGAACTTGCTCTGTTTTGGTACTAGCCCCTAGCGGATGAGGGTGGAACTGTAATTTTTGGTACTTCCATGCTGGAGCAAAGCCAGCGGCCTTGATCCCTTGGTACCGACGCACACTCAGAAGCATAAGCTCGGCTTAAATAGCGCCAGATACATGGCTATAACCAAGCAGCTGGCGGTCTCTGTTTTAGTTCAGATAGTCCTCGTGGGCATGAATGTTCCGTCTAAGAGAAGAGCAAAACACTTTGCTTCCCTTCTCAGTTATCCAGCATCAATTAACAGAGGCTGCCTGTGAGGTTCACTTGAATTAAAGAGAACTGAATCCACCTGAGCATAGTCGGTGGAACCGACAGATCCTTGAGTGCACAGATGCACTTTGTTAGGCAGGCATTTATCAGGAAGGCATCGATGTTCTAAACTCGCTTTGTGGACTACCCCCCAGGTTCGTGCGTGTGCAGCTTACAGGGATCTTGTTTGGGTGCTGCTCTCGGATCTGCTGGACCTCTTTGCATCGATCAGCTGTCGATAAAACAAATAGACAGCATGATGAGATTAGGAAGTTTACAGCAACAAGAGAAGATGTGTTTTGGATTGGTGGCCATATTGCAGCCATTTTGGATGGTAGGCTTTCGACTCCGTGTGTCACTGCAGATGGCTGCTTATGCTGATCCAGGATCCTCTGGAGGTTTCTTCCTGTGAAGTCTCTGACACAAGTCAGTGACTCGATGCAACCTGCTGGGTTACTTATATAGGAAACTTTTTACTGATTGCATTAATGAACTGAACTATTGGAATGTTTACTTTGAGAAGCGCCTTAAGAGGACTTGTCGGGATTTGGCGCTTTATAAATAAACGGAATTATAGATAGGGTGAGAAGCTCAGTCATCCGGGAGGAGCTCGGACTAGACCCGCCTCTCCTCCACATCGAGAGGAGCCGGTTGAAGTGGCCCGGGCTTCTAGTTGGGGTGCCTCCTGGACGCCTCCCTGGTGAGGTTATCCAGGCACATCCAACTGGGAGAAGACCTAAAGGAAGACCCAGGACACGCTGAGGGGACTATGTTTCTCAGCTGGCCAGGGAATGCCTTGGGATTCCCCGGAGAAGCTGGCCCAAGTGGCTGGGGAGAGGGAAGTCTGGGCCTCCCTGCTTAGACTGCTGCCCCCATGACCAGATTCCAGATAAACGGAAGAGGATGGATGAAACTCATTTCTAAATGAAACCATCATAACCACGTTCTGGACCTTAGCATGGGTGTCAAACTCTGGTCCTCAAGGCCCACTATCCCACATGTTTTAGTGTTTTCCCTGTTTCAACACACCTGATTTCAAGCCTGGGCCTCCCTGCTTAGACTACTGCCTCGCGACCTGATCCCGCGATATATTTGCATCAACCAAAATAATCGTGGTTATCATTTTCGCCATTGGCCGGATGGGTCTCTTCCTGATGACATCATCCTGTGGTTCCAGTCAGAGATGTTTAGGGTGTTCCAGGTGAAACTCCAGTTTTAGAGCTTTCTATCAACCCGTTCCAGGTGTTCATCCACGTAGTTCTCACCTTGCTTTGATATTCATGTTTCTGACACTGACAGCTGGTCCGTTCAGGTGAGCGGGTCACTGCCAGACTCCTCCCCTCCTGTCAGGTGACCGATTTAATCAGAGAATACGTGTAGGGGTCAGGTTTCAGCACAACTTGTTTTGGCCTCGCGGTGGGTCACGGAGCTGATCCGGTTGTGTAAAGACTGCGGCGTCACATTGACCCCGTTTACCGTGAAGCTACAGACCGACCATCAACACATGTAAACACGTTAAATCCGGTGTGAACCTACGCATTGAAACGCACTAACGCTAGCTGTAGACAGCACCGTCTTACCGAACGTTCTCCGCTGCTTGAACGGTCGGTCCGACGGCATCCCGGCAGGCGAAAGAAGGTGATGAAAACGGCCCTGGGAGGGTTTCAGATGGCTCGGTCTGAAGCTCCGCAGCAGCTCCGTACAAACAAAGCCAGTAATCTGACGCGCTGACGTCATCCGCTGCCTTATGGAGGTGAGTGAGGCAAGCCAAGTTGTCATTTAATATTCAGAAAAGTTATTCAGTTCCTGTCAGTAAAATTGAGGCCGTCTCTGGATCAGATCTCTGATTTTTATCTGATTTGGTGCTAAATACTGATAAGGTCATGGTAGTGGGGGATTTTAACATTCATGTGGACATTGAAAATGATAGCCTCAGTGTAGCCTTTAGTAATATAGACTCAACTGGTTTTACCCATAGAATGCATAGCTCCACCCACTCCTGGCATCATACATTAAACCTTGTGCTGATTTATGGCATAGAGTGTGAGGAAAATAACGATATTTCCACATAATCCAGTCCTCTCGGACCACTTTTTGATCACCTTTGAGTTTTTTATAACTGAGTTCTAGAGACATGAAAGTAAATTTCACTATAGTCTGTCTTTATCTGACAAGGCTGTTGCATCTTTTAAAGCAATTATTCCATCTTTACTGTCCTCAGCATCTCAGAGGACTGTAGCAGAGGGCAATATTTTCATTTCTAGCCCCTCACAAATTGATGATTTAGTTCATAATGTTACTTCTTTACGTGTGGCATTAGATGATGTTGCCCCTTTAAAAAAGGTAATTAAGCACAGGAAGTTGGCTCCCTGGTTTAATTCTGATTTACAAACTTTAAAACAAAACTCTAGAAAATTGGAAAGAACATGGCGCTCTACAATTCAATTCAAGTTTATTTATAAAGCATCAAATCAGGACCAGAGTCGTCTCAAGGACCTTCACACAGTAAACATTACAATACAGGTCAGGTCATTAAGCCAATCAGTAAAAAGTTTCCTATATAAGGAACCCAGCAGGTTGCATCGAGTCACCTCACACTAAGAATGCAGTGACAGTGCAGAGAAAAACTCCCTTTTAACAGGAATTTTGTGTTTCTTAGTAAACATTCTATTTGGTGAGAGATAAACTTTATTGTATTTATCCTAGTGAATCTATAATTAAACTGGTAAACTAGGAGTAGCACATTCAATGTCAAAGAGAGTAAAATGTTATTATCAGGAGAGGGAGAAGTGGTTAGTAGCAGTGTGCTAGCCAATGGCCCCCTCCATGAGGCCACTACAGCTCAGCAGAACATCATTGTAGCTTCTTCTGGGGAGGAAAACACTTAAGAGAAAAAATAAAGTTAACAGCTGAAATAGCAGGAAATAATGCAGTTAAAGAGCAGATTGTAGAAGAAAGTAGTAGAGTGTGGAAAGTGGTCAGTATGTCCTCCAGCATTCTAAGCCTATAGCAGCATATCTACAGAGATAACTCTGGATAACCTAGCCTAGTCTTAAAAGTAGAGACGGTGTCTGCCTCACGGACTAAAGCTGGGAGCTGGTTCCACAAGAGAGGAGCCTGATAGCTAAAATATCTGCCTCCCATCCTATTTTTAGATATTCTGGGAACCACCAGTAAACCTGCACTCGGACAGCAAAGTACTCGGTTAGGAACGTATGGAACAATCAGATCACTGATGTATGATGAAGCTTTATTATTAAGAGCTTTATGTGTGAGAAGGAGGATCTTAAAGGCTATTCTGAATTTAACAGATAGCCAATGTAGGAAAGCTAGGACAGGAGAGATATGATCTCTCTTTTTAATTCTCATCAGAACTCTAGCTGCAGCATTTTGGACAAGCTGAAGATTTTTAACTACATTCTGTGGACTTCCTGAGAGTTATAAATTACAGTAATCCAGTCTTGATGTAATAAATGCATGAACTAGTTTTTCAGTATCACTACTGGAAAGGATGCTTCTAATCTTAGCAATATTCCGAAGGTGGAAAACGGAAATCCTACAAACCTGTTTAACGTGGGATTTGAATGACATGTCCTGGTCGAAGATAACACCAAGGTACCTTACTTTGTTCTCGGAGACTAATTTAATGCCGTTCAGGTCAGGTGATTGATTAAGCAATTTCCTTTTCTGAATTTCGGGTCCAAAGATTAGAACTTCTATCTTGTCTTGATTTAAAAGCAGAAAGTTTTGAGTCATCCAACTTTTTATGCCATCAAGACAAGCCTGTAATCTAACTAACTGATTAGGTTCATCAGGGTTAATGGATAGATATAACTGAGTAACGTCAGCATAACAGTGGAAGTTTATCACATGCTCTCTGTGTGTGTGTGTGTCCACAGCAGGTGACATGGTGGTGGGTGGTGTTGTCACTGGCCTGTGGTTAGCCCTGCCCCACTGGTAAACCTCGGAGGTTTTTACCAGGGCATTAAAGTCAGTCCTAAACTGATTTTGGTCATTTTTAATGGGTATTATTCCAATTTCTGTTGTAATAAATGGTTTTAACAATCTGAAGCCACAACTACTTGGGCAAAAACGAACCCAAGTGCCTTACAGTCATTTCAAACTAAGTCCTTGGGTGAAATTCCCAAGGTGGCGTTGCTGGTTTTGGATAAAACGTCAGTCGATTTTTATGCCACACATACATTTGCAGTGGTCTCTAGAAGCTTCAGATGGCAGCATCTGGAGTCTTTTCCTGATATGTGGACATCTCTCCTCTGATTGGCTAACAGCAACACAACTCTACCACTGACTCTGTTTACTATGCAATGTTGATCTCTACAAATAACACAAGCCTGGAGAGTTCTGCTGTGTGGTGGAGTTGCTAATGCTAACAGTTAGCTTCTACTAGCCGAGACGTTCTCTACTGTTTCCTGAAGCGCCTTGTGATTTTTACCTTGAGAGGCGCTATAGAAAAGATCTTTTCTTCTTCTTCTGGACACTAAACCAACAACAGCCTTCCCTGTCGTGAGCCAAAATGAATATTAAGGGCTGTGATTTCCTTGTTGTCTGAGCTTGCGTTGGTGCAGGCACAAGGCTGCGTCTTTGTTCACATGCTGCACAGCACTAGTACTGGGGTGTTACCATAAGGGGCGCACTAGACTACTGAGACCGAACAGAGAGCCAGGTCTGTGGGAACAACCAAAACAAACATGGCATCAATTTAAGAGACCAGAAACTGGTTCGTTTTCAGTTCACGACAGAAAAAGCGACAGCAGCGGTAAAGAGGTTGGTTTGAAAGTCCTCTAAACCAGAGACGGGGTCACTATGGCGAGTTTGTCTCGCTCGTTTTGTCAACTCCACCTACTGGTTACTCGTATATTGCAGCATTCGGATGCGTCGCTGTAATTTCGAGGAACGCTCACAAATGATGCTCCAAATCAATGCAAGTAACGCATGGCAGCCATTTTAAAATGTGTATGCAATGTCAAACAGCAAGTATATCACGGCCCTAAGGGACAGTGTGACATAGATCTGTCAGGATTTTTAAATCCTGGAGTTTCACTGTCTGTTTTCTATCAGAAGCTACGGCAGGAGGTAGGTGTAGGAGACTATGCTCATGTTCAGCCTGCATGAGACACTCAGAGACACGTTAGAATCAGAGATAATCATTAAAACAGGGCTTTCAGTGAACCACACCTTTAAAATTAGATTAACACTTATTGGTTCATTAATTGACATTCAACAGAACATGAAGTCATTTAAAGACGTACTTATGAACATAGTGTGTTTGTTCTCTTTCAGACAGGATGAGGTTCTCAGTCTGTAAGGCCCAATCTCAACACTCGCACCGTCGCGCCCTTCATTTGCGCGTTCCCGGCCAGAGGTGTGAGTGCGTAGGGTGTCCAGACTCTCAAGTGCGGAAGTTGACCACGCCCCCATTGCACCCTTAATCTGCACTTCACCCAAGTCCGCTGTGATGCGGACCTCTGGCAAAGGTATTACCCACAAGTCATTGCTGCAGGAGAAAAGGTTTAAGTTCCTTTTCTGAAAATATGTATTTTCTAATGAAATTAGGACGATTAGTTGATGCTCTAAAACTTTTAGACAAAGCAGCAATAAATGTAAATTTATTTCAAATAACTGTTTGGCTGTTAGTTTAGAAGTTGCTAATAAAGGTTTTTGAATAGTTTTACAGCGACCAGCATCCTAGCATGTGCTGCGATCGATGATGCAATGCTCCCAGTCTTAATCCTGCAATCATCTGCGCACTTGTGCACTACGCACTTGAATGAACCCTACTGCTCACTTCCTCCAGGTGCACTTTGCTGACGTCAACAGGGCGAGTATTGAGACTGGGCCTAAATGTGTTGAATCTCACCGGCCGCGCTGCCAGTTTCCCATCTCGAGTCAGGGTTTGATTCAAGTCGCCACATTTTCCCTTCTTGTGTTTGTTGTTTGTGCAGCGACTTAGTTTTAACAGCTCCTTAAATGAGGCCCTTTGGGCTAAACCTGCCTTTAGTGTTTTAAATTTAGTTTAGCAGGTTTCAACTGGAGGATGTACTGTTGCTAGAGTCTCCGGTGAACCAGTTGCTGATCAGACAGCAGCTGATCCTCTCTACAAATTTGAAAAGCAAAAACTCACAAGTACACACCTTCTTTGTTATAAATGCTCCCCATTAACTTTAGTGGTTTAGTCTGAGTTTATTCTAACGCTTTAAATGAAGTCTGATGAACTCCATAAACAGACAAACATGAGACTTCTTGTTGACTTTAATCAGCAGAAGGTGGAGGTGCCATCAGAAGAGCCGTAGTGTCGCTCACTGTTGAACCTGACAAAAGAATAAATAATAAACTGGAAATCAAACTTTTGTTTCCTAATCCACCATCCAAGACGAACAAAGGATGCTACGAGAAAGAAAAATGTGTCTGCAGGCTGTTGACAGATTCGGCTCATGGATGGGATGGTGTCCAAAGGGCGTGGTGTTCCTCAGCTGTCTCTTCTAGGTTATCTTAGTTTAAAAGCAGAAGATCTGAAGAGCAGCCTGTTTCAGACCGACGGGTTCTGAATGACGATCATGAAATAATCCTTATCTGTGGAGAGAAGAGGCACAGCCGTCAGATCCAGATGAACTCAGACTGGGGCTACGGTGGCTCAGGGGGTCTCCCTGTAATCAATGGGTTTCCGGTTCAAACCCAGGCTCTGGCAGTTGTGTCGTACAGACAATCATTCATCCATTCATGTGGTGGTGTTGAGCTATATTGTTGCTACAGCTGTCCTGGGGTATGCCCAAGGACACAACAACTGAGTCAGACAGAGTGGGGCTTGAACCTGCAACCCTCAGATTACGGGTGGGACTCTGCTAGTCTAGTCTGCTACTCCTCCTTGAACCGTCACCTTATCGTGGTGGAGGAGTTTGAGTGCCCTAATGATCCTAGGAGCCATGTTGTCTGGGGCACTTTGTGCCCCTGGTAGGGTCTCCCATGAAAAATTGGGTCTTAGGTGAAGGGTGAGACAAAGAACGGTTCAGAAGATCTTTCATGGATGTAAAAACAAAGAGTCGGAGTACCCAGCCCAGAGGGTTACCGGCGTCCCACCCTGGAGCCAGGCCTGGAGTTGGGCGTGAGCGAGCGCCTGGTGGCCGGGCTTTGGCCCATGGGGCCCGGCCGGGCCCAGCCCGAACCAGATACATGGGCTCATCCAACTGTGGACTCACCACCCGCAGGAGGAACATGAAGGGTCCGGTGCAGTGTGGATCGGGTGGCAGACCGAGACGGGAGCCTTGGCGGTCCGATCCCCGGACAAGGAAACTGGTTATTGGGACATGGAACATCACCTCGCTGGCGGGGAAGGAGCAGGAGCTTGTGGCAGAGGTTGAGCGGTACCGGCTAGATAGTTAGACTCACCTCTACACATAGCATTGGCTCTGGAACCCAAGTCCTTGAGAGGGGTTGGACACTCTACTTTGCTGGAGTTGCTCCGGGTGAGAGGCGGAGGGCTGGGGTTGGCTTTTTGTTAGCCCCAAGACTCTCTGCCTGTGTGTTGGGGTTTCCCCGGGGGACGAGAGGGTAGCTTCCCTGCGCCTTCGGGTCGGGAAACGGGTCCTGACTGTTGTTTGTGCTTATGCGCCAAATATCAATTCAGAGTACCCACCCTTTTTGGAGTCCCTGGGACGAGTGCTAGATAGTACTCCATCAGGGGACTCCATTGTCCTGCTGGGGGACTTCAATGCTCACGTGGGCAATGACAGCATGACCTGGAGGGGTGTGATTGGGAGGAACGGCCTGCCTGATCTGAACTCGAGTGGTGTCTCGTTATTGGACTTCTGTGCAAGCCGCAGTTTGGCCATAACGAACACCATGTTCGAACATAAGGATGCCCATCGGTACACTTGGTACCAGGGCAGCCTAGGTCGCAGGTCAATGATAGACTTTGTAGTCGTATCATTATGTATCGTATTTTTTTCATGGGGCCCAACATCTCTATCAGCCCCCTGGTCATCGGGGGCAGTTCCTGTGGAGTGGCAGACCGGGGTGGTGGTCCCCATCTTTAAGAAGGGTGACCTGAGGGTGTGTTCCAACTATAGGGGGATCACACTCCTCAGCCTCCCTGGAAAGGTCTACTCCAAAGTACTGGAGAGGAGGGTCTGATCGATAGTTGAATCTCAGATTGAGGAGGAGCAATGGGGTTTTTGTCCTGGCCGTGGAACTGTGGACCAGCTCTATACCCTTGCAAGGGTGATGGAGTGGGGGCATGGGAGTTTGCCCAACCAATCCACATGTGTTTTGTGGATTTGGAGAAGGCTTATGATCGTGTCCCCAGGGACACCCTGTGGGGGACGCTCCAGGAGTATGGGGTGGGTGGCCTTTTGTTAAGGGCCATTCAATCCCTTTACCAGAGGAGCATGAGTTTGGTCCGCACAGCCGGTAGTAAGTCGGACCTGTTCCCGGTGAGGGTTGGACTCCGCCAGGGCTGCCCCTTGTCACCGGTTCTGTTCATAACCTTTATAGACAGAATTTCTAGGCGCAGCCCTGGTGTGGAGTGTGTCAAGTTTGGTGGCAGGAGAATCTCGTCTCTGCTTTTTGCGGATGATGTGGTCCTCCTAGCTTCATCCAGCTCTGACCTTCAGCTCTTGCTGGGTAGGTTCGCGGCCGAGTGTTAAGCAGCTGGGATGAGGATCAGCACCTCCAAATCTGAGACAATGGTTCTCGACCGGGAAAGGGTGGCTTGCCAACTCCGGGTCGGGAGAGAGGTCCAACCTCAAGTGGAAGAGTTTAAGCATCTCGGGGTCTTGTTCACGAGTGAGGGTAGGAGGGATCGGGAGATCGACAGGCGGATTGGTTCGGCATCTGCAGTGATGCAGACGCTAAGCCAGAAAGCCAGGCTCTCGATTTACCAGTCGATCAACGTCCCAATCCTCACCTATGGTCATGAGCTTTGGGTAATGATCGAAAGAACGAGATCGCAAATACAAGCGGCCGAAATCAGTTTCCTCCGTAGGGTGGCCGGACTCAGCCATAGAGATAGGGTGAGGAGCTCGGACATTCGGGAGGGACTCGGAGTAGAACCGCTGCTCCTCCAGATCAAAAGGAGTCAGCTGAGGTGGTTTGGGCATCTGGTCAGGATGCCTCCTGGGGAGGTGTTTTGGGCATGTCCTGCCAGCAGGAGGCCCCCGGGTCGACCCAGGACACGTTGGAGAGGTTACATCTCCAATCTGGTCTGGGAACGCCTTGGGGTCCTGCCGGAGGAACTGGTGGAGGTGGCTGGGGAGAGGACGGTCTGGAGCTCCCTAGTTGGGATGCTGCCCCCACGACCCGGACCCAGATAAGCGGAGGAAGACGATGACGACAATGACTGCTAGTCGCCCCAAACCGAAGTGACGACTCACCCAGCGCAATCATGATCTCATTCTTCTTGGATCGGACTCGCAGGAAGGTGAGGTCGTTCTGCGAGTCCATGTCTCGTACGGTGCTTCTGGCATTCATCACCAACTGGTGGATCAGCGCCGTGTACAGAACGGTCGTCGCGTTGTCCAGAGTCGTCTTGATGGGGATTCCTGCAGAGAACAAAGACTCACGATAACCTTTAGTCTTTTTCAACAGACCCAAGGTTTTTATTCACCTTTACACGGTGTTGTCTTCGTTAACCATAACATGACCAATTTATTTTGTTGACACCCTTTTTTCATAACGAAAACAAGACGCTGACGAGCTAAAAATAGCTCTTTGGTGACTAGAAGTTTTCGTTAACGAGCAGAGACTAGACAAACTGCTCAAAAGGCTTCTTTCTGCCATCTCTCAGAAGGTGAACGTAACAGCTGCTGTGTGTCCTCTTGTGGCAAGGTGAAGAAACGAGGGCCCGGGCGGGATTCGATCCCCAGACTCCCGGGTGAGAGTCATACGCTCTAACCAGTCAGCCAAAGGGACATCCCCTTGGCCAAGTAGCCAGGGCGCATGATCAGTCGGGACACTGTGACAGGACACTCACACTGCCACATCTTCCCCCCTCTTTCCACAAGCACGTCCTCGTGCTCCCGCGCAAGGTGCCACAAACTTCACATCCATGGACCTACTTGACAGTACTACATGGATACTGCCAACAACGCCAAATGTGGCAAGGTGGAGAAACGAGGGCCCGGGTGGGATTCGATCCCCAGACTCCCGGGTGAGAGTCATACGCTCTAACCAGTCAGCCAAAGGGACATCCCCTTGGCCAAGCCAGGGCGCATGATCAGTCGGGACATTGTGACAGGACGCTTACACTGCCACACTCTGTAGACCAGCCCAGCAGCTGAGTGAAGCTGGCTCCCGCCCAAACTTACTGACCACATGAGGAACCAGGTTGAGCTATTGCTATGGTAACAATGTGACGGCGCCCTTCCACAGCGGCGCTGCAGCAGCCTGAGCGGGAAGGCGCTCCTGTCACTCTGTGTGATTGAGGGGCTGGTTATTGTCCATGATGGATAAAAGTTTATTCAGCATCCTCGTCGTGGGGCGGCCGTGGCACAGGAGTTATGTGCTCGTCCCGCAATCGAAGGCTGCAGGTTCGAGCCTTGCTCAGTCTGTCGCTGTCATTGTGTCCTTGAGCAAGACATTTAACCCCCCTTACCTGCTGGTGGCGCCTCTGTCAGCGGTCCCAGGGCAGCTGTGGCTACATTGTAGCTCATCACCACCACCGTGTGAATGACTGTGTTGTAAAGCACCTTGGGGGGTTCTAGGACTCTAGAAGGCACTATATTAAATACAGGCCCTTTACCGTTTGTCTCCACCACGATCTCTAAGGTCTGAGACCAAGGACTGAGCCAGCCTTCTTAATGATGTTAAGTCTGTTAGCGTTGCTGGCTCTGATGCTCCTGCCCCAACGACAGAGAAGATGCTGCTGCCCCAACGACAGAGAAGATGCTGCTGCCCCAACGACAGAGAAGATGCTGCTGCCCCAACGACAGAGAAGATGCTGCTGCCCCAACGACAGAGAAGATGCTGCTGCCCCAACGACAGAGAAGAAGCTGCTGCCCCAACGACAGAGAAGAAGCTGCTGCCCCAACGACAGAGAAGATGCTGCTGCCCCAACGACAGAGAAGATGCTGCTGCCCCAACGACAGAGAAGATGCTGCTGCCCCAACGACAGAGAAGATGCTGCTGCCCCAACGACAGAGAAGATGCTGCTGCCCCAACGACAGAGAAGATGCTGCTGCCCCAACGACAGAGAAGATGCTGCTGCCCCAACGACAGAGAAGATGCTGCTGCCCCAACGACAGAGAAGAAGCTGCTGCCCCAACGACAGAGAAGAAGCTGCTGCCCCAACGACAGAGAAGATGCTGCTGCCCCAACGACAGAGAAGATGGTGCTGCCCCAACGACAGAGAAGATGGTGCTGCCCCAACGACAGAGAAGATGCTGCTGCCCCAACGACAGAGAAGATGCTGCTGCCCCAACGACAGAGAAGAAGCTGCTGCCCCAACGACAGAGAAGAAGCTGCTGCCCCAATGACAGAGAAGAAGCTGCTGCCCCAATGACAGAGAAGAAGCTGCTGCCCCAACGACAGAGAAGATGCTGCTGCCCCAACGACAGAGAAGATGCTGCTGCCCCAACGACAGAGAAGATGCTGCTGCCCCAACGACAGAGAAGATGCTGCTGCCCCAACGACAGAGAAGATGGTGCTGCCCCAACGACAGAGAAGATGCTGCTGCCCCAACGACAGAGAAGATGCTGCTGCCCCAACGACAGAGAAGATGCTGCTGCCCCAACGACAGAGAAGATGCTGCTGCCCCAACGACAGAGAAGATGCTGCTGCCCCAACGACAGAGAAGATGCTGCTGCCCCAACGACAGAGAAGATGCTGCTGCCCCAACGACAGAGAAGATGCTGCTGCCCCAACGACAGAGAAGAAGCTGCTGCCCCAACGACAGAGAAGAAGCTGCTGCCCCAACGACAGAGAAGATGCTGCTGCCCCAACGACAGAGAAGATGCTGCTGCCCCAACGACAGAGAAGATGCTGCTGCCCCAACGACAGAGAAGATGCTGCTGCCCCAACGACAGAGAAGATGCTGCTGCCCCAACGACAGAGAAGATGCTGCTGCCCCAACGACAGAGAAGATGCTGCTGCCCCAACGACAGAGAAGATGCTGCTGCCCCAACGACAGAGAAGAAGCTGCTGCCCCAACGACAGAGAAGAAGCTGCTGCCCCAACGACAGAGAAGATGCTGCTGCCCCAACGACAGAGAAGATGGTGCTGCCCCAACGACAGAGAAGATGGTGCTGCCCCAACGACAGAGAAGATGCTGCTGCCCCAACGACAGAGAAGATGCTGCTGCCCCAACGACAGAGAAGAAGCTGCTGCCCCAACGACAGAGAAGAAGCTGCTGCCCCAATGACAGAGAAGAAGCTGCTGCCCCAATGACAGAGAAGAAGCTGCTGCCCCAACGACAGAGAAGATGCTGCTGCCCCAACGACAGAGAAGATGCTGCTGCCCCAACGACAGAGAAGATGCTGCTGCCCCAACGACAGAGAAGATGCTGCTGCCCCAACGACAGAGAAGATGGTGCTGCCCCAACGACAGAGAAGATGCTGCTGCCCCAACGACAGAGAAGATGCTGCTGCCCCAACGACAGAGAAGATGCTGCTGCCCCAACGACAGAGAAGATGCTGCTGCCCCAACGACAGAGAAGATGCTGCTGCCCCAACGACAGAGAAGATGCTGCTGCCCCAACGACAGAGAAGATGCTGCTGCCCCAACGACAGAGAAGATGGTGCTGCGGCAACGACAGAGAAGATGGTGCTGCGGCAACAACAGACTGGTGAAACATCTCCAACATCTTGCTGCACAGGTTGAAGGATCTCAGCTTCCACAAGAGTCTACTCATTCCCTTCTTAGACACAGCCTCTGTGTTAGAAGCCCAGTCCAGCCTGTTGTCTATCTCCTGAAGTTCTCCTCTTCCTCAGCCTCCCCCAACCTGTAGTAGCTGTGAAGGCATTTTCTTTTTCCTGAAGTCAATCACCATCTCTCTGGTTTTACTGACATTCAGCCTCAGGTGACTCTGCTCAGACCACTTCCCTGATGCTTAGGTTTGTCTGGGTTTTTTTCTTTTTAGGCGGTCTGTAGGGTACTTTTAGTCAAGAGAGAAATGACGTTGGGCACAAAGATTAGATTTTTTGCCCTGTGTGATAATTTAAGTTTTGGGCTAAGATGATTGTGTTTTTGCAGTGAAAGCCCACAAGGTCTGACAAGGGCATTATTTCAATTAGAGGCTGACCGATGTGGTTTTTTTTAAGGCCGATACCAATTTTTAAAGACGTAAAGTAACTCACAACACTACCTTACATGTCTGAAACAAAGATAATCGTATTAATTGCCCTCTGTTGTCCTGGTAGGGACTTGCTTGCAACACTCCTCAGGTGAAGGAAGTCTGTGTGAGCACGAGTCCACACTCGAGCTGACGGATGTAAAAATCAGACTAGGATTGGTAAATGGTCTGTGTGTGTAGCACTTTCTTAGGGTTCTACAGCCCCCCAAGGCGCTTCACAACACAATCATCAACACATTCACACACGGATGGCTACAATGTAGCCGCAGCCGCCCAGGGGCGCACGGACGGCATCGGTCCCTCCAACCACCAGGAAGCAAGGCGGGTTACGTATCACGCCCATGGACACAACAGTAGCATTCTCTGGCGGGAGCCGGGATCAAACCTGAAACTTTCTGATTACTGGACAACCCGCTTCACCTTCTGAGCTTCTGCTGGGAAGGCCATAGACAGCGGGGGGCGTGGCCATCATCCTGTTTGCATAAAACAGCTGACAGACACGTCACATCAACACCAGTGGAGGCAAATAAAAAACATGTTCTGTTGTTACAAAAGAAACAGAAAAACGTTAGATTAATGACTGGTTTAGCAAGTAAACACTCGGGTCATCAGAGCTGCCGGTGGTTAGTTAGCAGAAGAAACACCAGCTGGTTTAGCTTACCTACCAGATTCTGGGAATTCTGTTTTCTCTTTAGCACATTTGTGCAGAAACGTCATTTGGAGTTTATTTTCTCGTGTTCTAAGGTTCTAAACCCCACATGAACGGGAAACCCGCCTGATATTTATCAGCTGATCTGGTAAACAAACAGCTGATTCTGAGTTGGAATGATATTTACCTTCAGAGTTAACGATGATGATTCCCTGAACGCCTTTCTGGCTCTGGATCCTCTTCAGCGTTTCTTCCACGTCCGCCTGAAAAAAGCAGCAGCAGATAAATTAAAGTCATTGATGATTTTAACTCCGCCGACAACGCCCGAGCAGCTCAGTTAGCAGCCCGTTGGGTCTCCAGTAAAGGTCCGGACGCTCTCAGCGGTCAGCATAAAACATATACATGAGTGGTTTAAACGCGTCAATCATTCCTAACTACCATTTTCAGCTTCAGAAGGCCAAATCCTCGCCAGAAACTCCGCTGGAAGCTCCGCGTCACAAACAGCTAGCAACTAGCAGGAAAACTACTTCCGGGGCAAGTGTTAGGGTGGTGAGTTTACGGTCCCAAAAACGTGTCGGATTTGCCTGTGATTGCGACATTATTGATCACTGACATAAAAAGACACACCAACTGTCTCAGCTATTGTAATGTTTTAGAGAACCGTTCAAATATCAAACACTGATCAATTTTCATCGTTACCAGCAGTCGATCATCTCTTATTTTAATTACGAAGAAAAATAAACTAAAGGCATTTTCTCGTGACACAAAACAGATTTTTAGTTCCAAACAGCTGTTGATCAGCTGAAGGACCTCTGGTTCTGAGGCCTCAATCATTAATCTGCTTACACAAAAATAGGTCTGACACTGCATATGTTTACTTTGAACCACATTTTCTAACTAGTAGACCCTTGAAAGCACCACACAAACACACACACACAATCAGCCTCTCCATCTCTTACCTGAGAATAAAATGATATCTGTAATAAAAAAAATACTGTGACAACTTCCTTGCCAAGGTTATAGGCAGAGCACACCGCTGACCGTCAGCACCCATAGGACTCTGACTCTAGAGTTAACTGTGAAGTACTGAACAGCAGAACGGCACCGTGATCCCATTCCTCGGAGTGGAACCCTTACTCATGGTGCAGAATAGACACAAACCACAAATCGCAGAAACAGAACAGTAAAGCAAAGACTAAGAACATCCACACACCCTGGCAACAAACCTTAACAACACACACCCAAAAGAGAACAAAACAACTGACAACCCATATGCTACAATTTACCAGGCCCACTGCCCGTTCTGCAGCAACACAATGCTTAAGATAATAGATTCACATGTCTTTATATGTGCATTGATGGTGTGGAATTGGCCAACAGGCATATATTTGTTTGATATGATGAACAGTATTTCCTGCCTAAAGCCCTTTTGGGTTAAACGAGATGTTTTCATTGTTCTAAAGTCCATCTTCCCTGACATAAATGACTTCAAAATTCTATATAATCATATTCTGTTGAATGAACAATATGTTTAAATCCAATGTGTTTGATTAACGTGTTATATGCTTTACATTGTGTTAAAATTAATGTTTTTCCTGAAGGATTTATTTCAGATCTTAAACTACACCATATCAGTATTTGCTGATTTAATATTAATCTATCAGTATGTCATATTTTTATTATTAATGTTTTAGCATTCACTTCACAGTAAGAGTCAACCTTTAGGCATCTGAGTGAGGGCGTGATTCTCTGAGGTCTTTGGTAACACATTTAAACTTGTCAAATTTTGATTTGTCTAAATTTGTCAACAGCGGTTGATAAATATATCACTTCCTGATCCAGTCAGTCCTCCGCTGCCTCCTGGTTCGGCCGATCCTCTCTGTGACCAAGGTCAAAGCCTCTCTGCAACGCTTGCCAGTGATGTCAGACACTACAACACCTCAGACGTGGCTTGTCTAACTTGCAGATCCTGGTCTCATCTCATGGCCAATGATATTTGAATTCAAAGGAGGCTGCGATTCTTTGAGACTCCTGTAGCCATGACGTCCGGTAAACTCACCACTCCTGGTTGCCTTTCCTCTGGACTGCCGAGAGCGGCCGTCACACACGGGTAACATAGACTCTGCACAATGGCGTTGGATGGTTTTATGAATAATCTCTAGCTTATCAAACCATACAGTCAGACTGATTTCATAACCCAGACATCACAAGATCTCTCAGACACTTAACCAGGTTTGCTACAAACATTTGGCTGACATTCCATCATTTCATTCATACTTGTCCTGTATAATCGTCAGTTTAGAAAAATAGAATTTAGTTCATTTTTATAACCCATATCATCGACTGTGTCTGGATTAATATGAAGTGTGTGTTCCCTGAATACTCAAAGAACCAGGAGTATTGTTAAATCAAACACTCAAAGACCAATCAGAGTGATAACTCATATTTATATGGAATATCACATCTTATTGATCATTTAATTTAATATTTAGCCAATATATAATGCTACATCAATAAAGTTTCCCTTAGACCTGGAAAAGACAATGATCCCTCCCTGCGCACCATAATGCCGCTTTTATTGATAGTATCAATGATTATTACCATAGCCTCCATCTGACCACTTCATTTTTATGTTTTCTCGGTGAGGTTAAAGGCCTGCAGGACAGGCTGTGCAGCTGCTGCTGGTGTTGTCATACATACACAAAGGGGTGACACACATCTGGCTGCTGTGCAGGACATGCTCTGGTCAGACGCTGAACAGGAGGCAGAGGGATGAACAATTTAATACCATGATGCAGTTCTGTGAGCTGAGTCTAAAAACATACAGCTCAGGAGGAGCTGGCAGAAACTGATGGAGGATCTCTTGGGTCAAACTGCAGAATGGCTCTGGTCAGATGATCAAAACAAAGATGGCCGAGTGCGGCGTTGCGCTGCAAGGCAAGATGCTCTGGGTTGGCACTTTGTTGGAGACCCGCTGGGGCCACCTATTAATTTTGAAGGTCTTTTTAAAATGATTTTTTTATTACTTTTCATTTGTAATTTGGCTCTTGTGAAGCATCTCGTGATTTCGTCTTGAGAGGTGCTATATAAAAGATTGTTTCTTCTTAATATGCTGTACTTCATTTGAAATGATAAATAATCATGTGTGTTTCGACTATTTCTGTCACGTAATTTGAGATTTATTAGCTCATAAAAATTAGCAAAAAAGACAACAAATCAGAAGTGCTTATATAGCAGAATCTCCTCTCCCCAGACATAGTTCTTTTGGTTTAGTACTCAACAACACTGGTGGGGTCCATTTTTTCCGAGTTGGAAGCTGGAACGCAAAACGACCCCATTACGTCATTTCCTGCTCAGAAATTCCAAGTTCGGAGGACAACTGGAACACAGCATTAGCCTCTTTTCCTTCAGTCGCTGAGCTATTAACCATAGACTTTATAAAAATTAGACCCTGAAAATGCGGCGGCCATAGACAGTATGTTTCTAGTTTCTCATGTCCATCACTTGGTATTGCCATGTTAACTACAACTACTGTCCTCTTTTGTTTGTCCACCACCACAATGTCTGGCTGGTTCGCCTATTCAGTTGGCTCTCTCGTTCTCAACCACCTTAGGCCTTGGGGCTTCCAGTCTATACTCTGCTGGAAGCCCAAAGGTCAAAGTGGGTAACACCCCCTAAGGCAGTGGTCCACAATAGGCCTCTTTGTTTCCCCTGAACCCCGCGCGTACTCAGTTTAACTGGTACTGGCATTACCCTGGTACTCAATACCACCAGTGCAATACTCAGTATGTGTTCAATACTCGTTAAATACCAGATTTACATAGTATGTCCATGTCCTTTACAGTATACTGCATAGTTTTGGAATTTAAATTTTTCATTTTTTATTTGGGGTTTTTAGTGGTTGAAGGTTACAATACCAGACTAGTACTGCCTATGTGTATAAATACATGTACCTTTGTTATTATTGTTCAAATTATTCCCTTAAGTGTTGGTGCTGCTGTAACCAGTGAATTTCCCCACTGTGGGATGAATAAATTCTATTCTATTCTGTTCTATTCTATTCTATTCTATTCTATTCTATTCTATTCTATGTTATGACTGAAGCAGGTCTGGTTATAGGAGTTCAGCGCTCTACCTGCAGGAGGCGCTCTGATTTTGCTATCAGACTCAGAGCGCGTGCCGCCGGAAGCACCCGCAGGCCGCTATATATTATGTCGATGGCTGAAACCTGTTTCTCTGTGTGCTTGTGTTCTGTTTGTAAGAAAGAAATCGGAGTAAAATATTTTAGCATCTCGTAAATGTGTTAACAACAACAAACAAACGACTTCTAAACATTTGGACAAACTAGTGAAGGAAGCCGGAGGGGTGGGACTAGAAGGGGTAACGCAGTTGGACGCAACACCAGCTCGCTCCCCGTTGACTCCTGTCCCAGTGGTGTCGAGTCTCTGTTTCTGCTCTCTGAAGGACGTTTTCTGCTGTCCTTCGTGTGATGGAACTGGATAAAATGGACGAGAATGACTGGAAGTACCACGGAGAAGGAAACAAGAGTCTAGTGGTGTCTCATGTTCAGGTGAACCAGCTAACACTAAGCTAACAGACTCTCCAGCCCGACACAGAGAAACCAGCAGCTTCGAATAACTGTACTTTATTATAACATGCTTAAACATGTCACGTGGTGTCTGAGCTGTTTTACGGAACAAAAAACAGCTTTTTAAGCTAAGTTAGCATCTTGGTCAGGCTTCCTCCCAGAGCCAACAGCAGTGGTTAGCCGGGCCGCTGACCCTCTACAAGTTTATTTAATGTTATTATTAGTGTTCAGTTCCAGCTGGGAACTCTTTGTTTGTTTGTTAACTTATGTTGGATGTTTTCGTCTTAAACGAGCCACCATCTCTGTTTTATAAGATTTGGAGCTGAAGTCGAGTCTTCAGCCTTTCGGAGTGCCACATATTAAAGCCCCCATTTAAGTGTATCTGGGTTATTTAACCTTTTTATCAAACTTGCGCCTAACGTTTAGATTTAAATAATCCATCGTCCCGTCAGGAATTCAAGCTCATAATCTGGATTAACTGGTTCTGGTTTGAATGAAAACACCAGTTTGTGATGAGTCAGGGTCAGGTGGAGATTTTGCAGCTGCTGTTTTTACCCTCATGTAATTTATTTGATGACTGTAAAGCTTTACAGTTTATTTTAAGACTCCTGGAACAGAAAGAACAAGTTTCTGTTGCTGGATTATGTGTAAATCAGATGATTTCCCAACACGCATGCCCACTGCTGAAGGTTGAGTTGTCTCTCCCAACGTGTCTGGTTGCTGCATCTGTTTCCCAGGAAACTCTCCTTTCTGGGTATTGTTGTGAATCAGTCGAGCTCCACTGACCTCAGATACCTAGCTTGGGGTTTTATTCTGAGGTTCTTGCTGTGGAAGACCTAAATCAGGTTTTGAAGCTGCCTGGGGGCTCTGCTGAAGGAGCTTTCTGCTCGTCTGGCCGGAGCTGAACATGTAATTTTGTCTGCAGCATTTTACCATGGAAGCAGACCAGATGGGCGCTGGTAGCATATCTTTGACACCGCGTCATTCTGAAAATGATATATAGCTTAACCGTCACTGGGAAATGTTATCCTCATTTTCGTGTGATGTGAACAGAAATCCGTTCATCCTAACCACACTTGTGTCTTGCAGCTCTCCAGAGTTCTGCGTTTGCTCAAATATCCAGCTGAGGACTCTGAAAACCCTCCACAGGTAAACCTGAGTTACAGCAGTTTAAAGAAAAATGGGGTAATTTCCTTGATGATGTCTGGTTCTAACGGGTCTCTGGGTGTTTCATGCAGGCTGAACATGAAAATAGTGTCCTACACCAATCTCCTGCATTAGCTTCTGACAGAAACTCTAGGATTAGAAAAGCCTGACAGATCTGCGTCACACTGTCACTTAACATCCGTGCATGACAGACCTGCCAACCTGTACACATTTTGTGTAGCAAGCACGCAATTTGGCGTGTAATCCCGCTGGTACCACTCACCCCTCTAAACTACTACTAATCAGAGTGCTAATGCTGCTGATGGGCTTAATCGGTATCTGGGATATATTTTCTATCCTTTCCTGTTTTCTAGAGGTCAGTCACCTTTTCTCGTAGATTCGGTGACAATCCCTCAGCTTTCCCTGTGACTCAGAAATGGAAACGTCAGTGCAGCTCTGGATGGGTTTGTCAGGAGCCCCCAAACTCACACACCTTTTCTAATCACACACTGATGCAAGTTACAGGTGAGGATGGTCACCTTTAGCAGCCATTCACACCCAGTGGTGTTCTTGTTTCAGGCCAAAGTCCACAGGCTCATTCCCGTACTTTATTTTGTTCTGGTGATTTGCAGTGAGTTCACCCTTTTTTTCCACAATAAAAATCCTCACGTGACCACTGGCCATGGGCGAAGAGGTTTTCGTGCTTCCATGCACAATCTTTGACAAGTGGCCAAAATATCCACCAGGGTGTGAAAATGTATCAGCACAAAAGCAGCGATGGTCTTGTTCCGATGCGCTGTAGCTGTCTATCGTTGACATCAGAGCAGTCGGCTCGTTGCCACCTCCACTCTGTAGACCTGTGTCTGAAGCTCATCCTGGTTTCCATGAAGAACACGGCTCCTCCGCGCTCTCATTGTTAATAAAATGTAGAGGAAACGGTATTGTTCTGAAATGTCAGAGTTTCATTAACCAGCTGGTTGCCACAGTAACGGCTGCCAGAAGCACCATGTGACCTGACGGCCATAAGGAACATAATGCTGCTGCTGAATGTAGATTTCAGACACGTTTGACTGAATTTCCCTTTGTTAGTCAGCCTGGGAACTCGTTCCCGTGGCAACACCACAGCTGTTTCCTGGTTGGCAGCAGTGGCCTTGAAGAGACGGGACTGGGTTAGGGTTGTCTCCTGTGTGGAGAAGGGTTAAAGTCATCGTGAGATCACATCTGCTGAACTGGAACCGCCAGTTCTGTAGACGCACCTCTGGCGGACCGTGAGACCCGTCCTAAAGCAGCTCGGTCATCTGTTCAGGCATTTGTGTGACCTTTTGACCCTGCACTGCTGGTTGGGTCATTTCTGCCTCCTGGTTTTTGTTCTTTAGCGGGGCTTTAGTCTAACCCAAAAAAAACCTCTTCTTCTGCCTCTTCTTTCTACAACCGCCTAACAGGAAATGGAAAAGAAATCAGAAGCTTTCCCCACAAACACATAATCAGTGACAGCTACTGCATGCCAAAGATTCTCCGTGCTTTAACGCCCAGTCCTGTGGGCTTTGGGTTAGGTGTGGTGTCCTCTGCGTCCCAGCTAAACGTACCCTAACGCGTCTGGTCTTCCACTGGAGACCCAAACAGACGGTTTCACGCAGGAAATGTATTTAAGGTGGTGGTTGTGGAGACATCCACAGCTCTGCTGATACTTGATGAATCTGTCCTGTTGTTCAGACAGCAGAGCAGGCCTTCAGTCAGATCCAGACCATCGTGGACTTCAGCTCCAACGTGATGTGCAGCCTGCTGGGGGACAAGTTCGTCCACAGTGGGGTAAGACACAGTGGATACTTATTTAGCTCCAGCTGGGAGGTGGAACATGTGTTCCACACAGAAATCACAGCATTTCAGATGTTTGGTGTCTGAATGAACATGTTTCTCCTCTGCAGGAAGTGGTGAAACTGCCGCTGGAGTTTGTGAGACAATTATCCATCAAGATTCAGCATCACAGACCAGGTGAGATGATGTTCACCCATTCATCTCAGAGCCTTCAGGAGGAACTTTTCCTTTTAGTAGAGATTCTACACAAAGATTTACAAGTGGTGTTGTTATGGTAAATGTATTTAATATAGTACCTTCTAGAGCCCTGGAACCCCCCAAGGCGCTTTACAACACAATCAGTCATTCACACCCTGGTGGTGATGAGCTACGGTGTAGCCACAGCTGCCCTGGGGCGCGCTGACAGAGGCACCACCGGTCCCTCCGACCACCACCAGCAGGCAAGGGGGTGACGTGTCTTGGCCAAGGACACGACAACAGCGAGGGACTGAGCAGGGCTCGAACTTGCAACCTTCTGGTTACAGGCGAGCCCTTAACTGTGTCACCGTCACCTGTTTTAGACGGTAGTGTAGTTGGTTAGGTCGTTAGTGGTTTCGTTCATTTGCATTTTCTCTGATTGATTATATAAACCTGGAAAATTATTGGCCGATTTTCCAGTCCCTCCTGGGTGAATGCAAACAGGCTAAACATTTTACACATGAATGTCTGTTTTCAGCTGCCTTCAGCGGGCGGCGCTGGGCCGTAGCACTGGGCCGTAGCGCTGGGCCGTAGCGCTGGGCCGTAGCGCTGGGCTGTCTGCATCTAGCCGGCCCAGAGCCCCAATACACACTACCAACCAATCAAATTGCATATTCCCTCAGAACAGTTCTGCTTCCCAGTGTTTCCATCTGTTTTTGCTGCTAGGTTTACTGATTTTTCAGGCCCGAGTAAGGATTTATTTCTCCAAAGAAAGGCCAAAGCAGCGACGTCCAGTTCGAGAGTGTTGCTGTAAATGGAGGGAGAGTTTTTCTGACAGAGGAGCTGTGGAGAGCTGTTGTTACTCATGCCTTTGGTTTTAGTGGAGCCCTAACAAACATGGCAACATGTCACAGCTACCGACTCAGTATTTCATACTTGTTCTGTTGTCCGACAGCAGAAACCAAAAACGTGATGAATTCAGCTCCATCATCCATATATAATACTGTCTATGCACAGAGAGCAGAGCCCTGAGCTGTTAGATACACACCGGCTGCAGCCAAAGGTAATGTAAATAAACTGAATTCAACACGGATACGTTAATCATTAGAACGATGGCAGCCATACATGTATCATAGCAATGCTTAATACAAGCCAGTCTAAACAGAGATATTAGCCTAGTCATGTGATTTATTACACATAAAATATTTGGTGGAAAGGGAGATGATTAAATATTTAAGCAAATATGGAATAACCTACCAAACACTACCAGAACAGCGGCTTCCTTTTCATTTTTCAAGAAACTCCTGAAGACCCTGCTCTTCAGAGAGCATTTTCTAAACCAGCACCCTCCCTGCACCCGTCCCCCCTCTCTACCGTCCACTCCTTGTTCCCTCCTCTCCATGACTGATGTCAAGTTGTTGTTGTAATTGTTGTTGTTAGCCTCAAGGGCAACATGCCGATTATCACTTGTAAGTCGCTTTGGACAAAAGCGTCTGCTAAATACATAAACATAAACAAAGTCAGTCAAAAACACACAACTCATTTATTCCAGGTGTGTAATGTGCCTTGGGTCAAGGTTAGAGTTTGGACTTTTAAACTGATATCAGTGCGTGAAACAGCAGTTCTGTTGTAGTTGTGTTGCAATTAGACGAAAGCAGGTGACATTGTAAAAGACAATCTTTGCACAGCTATAATATCTATATAACGGTATACGTACAGTATCATATCTTTGTCAAATTATATCACGATAGGATGGGCCATGTGATCTGACGATAAAAGATCGTTGAGGATTATAAAGTGATGACCACCTACCAAAGCTCGGAGACCGTCTATTTGGCTTCCATCTCCTGTGCCATTATTTCGGGACGCCTCTACCGGCACCAGTGGCTGTAGAATGAGCACGCATGTTTTCTCAGCCAAGTCACACTGTTTGCTAGTCTGCCTCTTGGCCCAACAGACACCCCGATGAACCAATCAAAACAAGTTTAAGGCAGCGCTGTGGTTTGTTTAGCTGGGGCAGTGGCGGCGCCGGGGGGTGCTAGAGGGTGCTATAGCTACCCCTGGATTAGTCATTGCTCCCCTATAGCACCCCCAAGTAAATATTAGATATGTTTTTTTAGAATTTAATTTCAATTTAACGTGTGGATGTGATAATATTTAACATACAAAAAAAAAAAAAATCAGTAAATTATCACATAGATAGTAAAAACTTAAACCAAAACAGGAAATTGATGTTAACCTTTGACCTCATTTTCCACCTGTGAACGAGTGAAAGGTAGAGCTAATGGTAAAATGGATCGTTTTTTTTTTTGCCCGAATTTCCACTTGTTCAGTCAGAAACGAACAAATCTTTGGAAGTGATCTCAGACCCACAAAAACCTACGGATCTGGATGAAAAGAATCATCAATCTTCGCTGCAGCGGTCGAGGGTTCATTGTTTCAGGTGTTGAGGTTTTGTGCACACATGTGTATCTGCTAGTGTTGACGGTGTTTTAGAGAACAATAGGTATGCATGACCACTTCCTTCATAGCACCCTCAATAAAAAAACTAGCTGCTTCATAGCACCTGCAGAAAAAATTTTCTGGAGCCGCCACTGAGCTGGGGTGCTCGGTAGAGCTGAGGAAAATAACCTAATCCATGCATTAAGGTACGGACATAAACGATGATGAGTCTTTGAATAGGCAGTTCTCTAACTTCCTTCTTTTTAATGATAAAAGACAGAGGTTGTAGTTTTTTGTCCAAGTACTTTGTCCAGGGTGGGTGCAGTGGACCTCGGTCAGCTCGCCCCATTCCTGAAACAGAGTGTGACTTCCCTGGCTGGATCACTCGCTCGCTAACCCGAACCCTGGGTGGTGTACTGGATGGGAATGTTGTCTTGGACAGGCAGATCAGTTTGGTGACTAAATCTAGTTTTTATCCATTAAGAAGGATCACCAAAGTAAAGGCCTTGCTGTCAAAAAGGATGTAGAAACAGTAATTCCTGCTTTTATTACATCAAGGCTTCATTCCTTTAATTCTTTGTACCTTGGTGTTTCACAATCCCACCTCTCGCGTCTTCAGTTGGTGCAGAATGCTGCTGCACGGCTGCTCACGGGGACCAAAAAGATGGAGCATGTTACTCCTGTTCTGGCCTCCCTGCACTGGCTGCCTGTTAGTTTGAGAATCCAGTACAAGGTGCTTTCATGGGCTTTACATCTCTGCATGGCCTTGCTCCAGATGACCTCTCTGAGCTGCTGGTTAGGGGTCTTTGAGGTCAGCTGATGGGATGCTCCTGAAGTCCCAAAAACCAGATGCAAGCTCAGAGGTGACAGGGCTTCTCTATAGCGGCCCCTAGGCTCTGGGATGAGCTGCCTTTGAGCGTTAGGTCGGCCTCTTCTGTCAGGTTTTAAATCTCTTTTGAAAACCTGTTTGTATGATTTGGCTTTTAACTCAGCATGAGTCTTTTTAGAGTTTTATCAGTGTTTGTTCTTAAGCGTCAGTCTATTGTTTTTGATGTTTTACTTTCTGTAAAGCACTTTGATTGGTTTTATACCATTGTAAGGTGCTACACAAATAAAGCTGCCTTGCCACACCATACTCGATTATAGCAGCTAGCCGCTATCATTAGCCACTAGCTTGTGCTGTCTTTAAGCAGTAGTCACATGTATTCTCACGTCTGCTTGATCAGGGAACCTCCAATGTTCTTCTCTAAACTTTGCATTTGGCTTTGTTTTTATTATTTGAGTGTGTTGTGGGAAGTGCCTGCGGGACGTTTGTGGGACATTTGAGACATCTATCGCTAGCTCTCAACTGTGATTAGACAGACAGACGAATGTTGGAATTTTAAGATGTTTTTTTAGGATTCTGAAATCTTTCATCCTATTTTCGTCTGAACTGTTGAAATGAAAAAAATCGTGATATGATTATTTTTTTCATATCACCCACCCCTACGATAGGAAAACATTATCGGTATATCACCCAACCCTACGCTAGGATAACATTATCGGTATATTGCCCAGCCCTACGCTAGGAAAACATTATCGGTATATCTCTCACCCCTATGATAGGATAACAATATCGGTATATCGCCCACCCCTACGATAGGATAACATTATCGGTATATCACCCAGCCCACGATAGGATAACATTATCGGTATATCTCTCACCCCTATGATAGGATAACAATATCGGTATATCGCCCACCCCTACGATAGGAAAACATTATCGGTAAATCGCCCAGGCCTACGATAGGAAAACATTATCGGTAAATCGCCCAGGCCTACGATAGGAAAACATTATCGGTAAATCGCCCAGCCCTACGATAGGATAACATTATCGTATATCGCCCAGCCCTACGCTAGGATAACACTATGGGTATATTGCGCAGCCCTACGATAGGAAAACATTATCGGTATATCTCTCACCCCTATGATAGGATAACAATATCGGTGTATCGCCCACCCCACGATAGGAAAACATTATCGGTATATCGCCCAGACCAGTACTGTAGCAGCTGGAAATGTCCTGGAAAATAATTTAAACAAAACAGCGGAAATTCTGTGTAGGTTAGTTTTTCATTTGGCTGGTTGGTCAGTAAGCTCGGATTGAAGATTAGCTAGTTTTTAGATAGTTGGTGATCTCTAACCCTCTCTGTTTCAGTCTGGCGCTGTGATAAGGTCATGGACATCTACAGCGGCTGTGCTCTCTGCCTGCCAAACCTGACATCTCCATTGCTGCATTCACCAACACGAACCCCCCCTCTCTGCATCGAGATCAAGGTATTGCCCTCCTAGTCCAGAAGTTCCTGCTCAGAACTAATCCAAAGGGTTGAAATGAAGGCAGCTGGACTTCTTTGGTTTCTTGAAGACGTTTCTCTTCTCATCCGAGGAGCTTTGTCAATTCTGACTGGGTTATGGGAGAGTCAGGCTTAGAAGCCGTATTTATCTGTTGTTATTTAACGAGCAGATACTACTCTGAATACCCTCTTCCCTCCTGATGAGGCGTTGTGTAGATTAGATGCAGGAAGGTGTGGCCTAGACTGAAACTGCTTACTAAAGCTGCATTATAGGTACTGGAACTAGGAACAGAGCCTGATCAGAATCAGGACAACATTCATGATCTAGAAGTCGTCATTGAAACAACAATATTATTATTAATAAGAACCATGAGAGTCAGAATCTGGTATCGGATCTCAGAACCACGGCTGGTGCAGCCTTTAACAACGTTTTTTTACTGTTTCAGAAGTTCTGACCCAGCCTTCAGAAAGTCTGTAGAACTGTTGACCCTGGGCTGGGTCAGGAGACGTTTCTCATACAAACAAACCAAACAGCTGTCACTCGACTGTGTGTGTGTGTGTGTGTTTGTTTTCAGCCAAAATGTGGTTTTCTGCCAACCTCCAAACACATCAGCAAAGACATAAAGACCAAAGTGTGTCGGTACTGCATGCACCAGCACTACAAGGTAGGAGTGCCTCCAACATCAGAACATCACAGCTCTGAGCTGATGCTAAAGATACTTCCTGCTGTTCACCGATTGGCTGAGCTTTTCAGCTTTGTGACAGTTTGCTTTTGATGATGCTTCAACCACCAGTCATCAGCTGTTCAGTCTCTGTTCTGCTGGTCTTGTGTCCAGGTGTCCAACGGGAAGTGGAAGAGACATAGTCTGTACTGTCCTCTGGACCTGTTCTCAGGGTGAGGGTTCTGGTGCTGAAACATCATGGTTCTCTGCTGAAGAACCTTGTCTGAGAAGATGTTTGTTTGCTTACAGAAACAGACAGAGGATGCACTTCGCCATCAGACATTTGATAGAAGAACCTCAAAACAACTTCAAGGTTTTTAAGGTGAGAATAAAAATCTCTTAAAAAGGTTCATGTTTCTAAATGAAGCCTTAAGTCCTAAAGGAGCCAGATCATGCTGATTTAAACCTTTGGAGAGCAAAGGTAGGCAGGCATATATGAAAATATTACCAATGGCACTATTGAGATGTCATAATTGTTATTTTTAAACACAGTGTTCAAAGATTGCACTTAATTCAAAATGCTGCTGCTCTAAACGGTGCAAATAAATTTGATCACATCACTCCTGATCTAGAGGCGCTAGAAAAAATAATTAGTAGGGTTGCAAGGATGAACCGGTTTGACTATTAACCACGGTAAAGACGTCTCCACCACCACAGACAAAAACAAACATTAGTGGGCCAAAGTGAACGAACGCACAGCAGAACCAGCATCAACAACCACCGGGACCGCTCCTTTCCCACCTAGGAAGTGCTTCAAGTCTCCTGTGAGGGGTACTTTAGACTCCCAAAACTGCTAAAAGACAAATTCAGAACGATGATCGTCCATCTGCAGAGCTGGCAAAAAGACATTACGTCACTCCCAACTAGTTCTCATCTCTGAGATCACACAGATCATCTCCACCTGAGTCAGATCACGTTAGTGATTAATATTAGAACGACGTTCAGATTGTGTTTTACGTTTCCCCTGTATCTGTCTACAAGAAGCCCGTACAGCAAGCCATTTTAATATTTAATCAACACCACCTGTGTAATTCATGTTCTATGACTTGTCTAAATAACATTCTTACTGATGAAATGTGAGAAGACACGAACAAGTAGATATTACATATAAGTAATCAGTAATATTCATAATAACTGCACCAGTAGGAATTCAGCATCTTAGTTTATGAAGGAGTCTCCGTCCTTCAGAGCCAACAGGACCAGCTGTCAGTTAAACCTAATTAAAGGAGTGGTTCACCAAAAACACATTCTGACTGAACATGAGAATAGTCTCCTACACCTATCTCCTGCAGTAGCTTCTGGTAGTAAACAGACGGTGAAACTCTAGGATTAGAAAATCTTGACAGATCTACGTCACACTGTCGCTTAACATTCATGGACTCACTCATCTGGACTCACGATGGGGAAGGCTGTTGTTGGGGACAGCAGCAGCTCAGGAGGTAGAGCATGTTGTCTAGTAATCAGAAGGTTGATGGTTCGATCCTGGCTCTGATCAAAGAAAGCTGCCATTGAGCCAGACACCTAACCCACCATGCCTGCTGCTGGTGTTCAGAGAACGGTGGTACCTGTATACAGCAGACTCGCCTGTCAGAGCGCCCCAGGGCAGCTGTGGCTACATCGTAGTTCCATCACCAACAGTGTGTGAATGGGTGAATGACTGATTGTATTGCAAAGTGCCTTGGGGGGTTGTAGAGCCCTAAGAAGGTGCTACAAGTAGAGACCATTTCCCGTTTAACCATTTGTTAGTTTAGCGTCCAGGAAACCACAGAGAATGTCTCTGCTAGTAGAAGCTAACCGTTAGCATGAGCAACTCCACCACACAGCAGAACTCCTCCAGGCTTGTGCTATTTGTGGAGATAAAAGATCAACGTTGCATTGGTTCCTACTAGAGACTACTACAAATGTACTGAATAGAGATGTACCACACCTTTAAATCGGGTCTTTTATCCCAGGTCTAGTCTGGAGCCTGGTCTTAACAGCAGGGCATACGAGTCATCACACAAGTCAGAACCTTCTGGTTGAGATTCTTTTCATTGGACTCGTTGACGGGGTTAGACCTGGTGTTTCTGATCAGCATGATGGGTGTTTGTGTTGAAGACGCCCTAAACAGATGTTTGGACGGGTCAAACCAGAATCAGAACCACTGGTTTAACACTGAGTCTATGTTCTGGTCCAGCAGAACCTACTCCAGCAGGTGTGTGTGTGTATCTCTCTCTCAGGGCGGGCAGTGTGTGTACAGCAGTAAGGAGGTTAGTGACGAGTCTCCGGACACCAACGCTCTGCTGCACCACCTCAGGCCGTACTTCCTCAGCACAAACAATCGAGTCAGCAGTCACATGACCAGCAAATCCATCCTGAATGACTTCATCCAGGTAAGCCAGCTCCCAAACCCTGCTCAGGTGAGCTGAGGAGGATCATGCTGAGTAAAGCACCTCTTTGTGTTGGAAGGTTCTGGTGAACGCCCTGCTGAGTGGAGGAGGAGATGGAGATGAAGGACAGGTGACTGACAGACAGGGAGAGAGGCGGGGCTTCTGCCAGGCCAGTCATTTCAACAGGGAGCGTATCCGTCACGGTTAGAATCCATTAGAACTCAGTCTGGTCAGGTTACAGCCGGTGGAATCATCTCCGGTCAGACTTCTCCTCACATCTGGAGCTGATGTTTGTGTGCAGGATCCCAGGGCTTACCCAGCGACAGCGTCCTGTTCAGGATCCTTCAGACTCAGATGTTGGACAGTTTGGACATCGAAGGACTTTATCCTCTGTATCGCCAACTGGAGCAGCACCTGCAGGACTTCCCTAAAGAGAGGTAGAACTCAGACCACAAGAACCAGGCCCGACCTGTTCTGCTCTCTGATGGCTCTTCTGTCTGTCAGAACTCGTCTCCAGATAGACGGGCCGTACAACGAGACCTTCCTGGAGAAAGTACAGAAATGGACGATGGAGGACAACGGCTCCGTGGAGTTTGCTGCAGCAAAGGTCAGAAGGTTCTTAGATGACCCAGAAACATTCAGTACCTCATCAGCTTCAGGGTTCAGGATCTGTTAGAACTTGAGTCACACGATTCACAGCATCACAAATATGAAACCTGAATCCAGTCCAGGTCTCTGGATTCCAGCAGAAGAACAAACCAAAGGGTAGCTGGTCCCTGGAGATGTGGTTTGTGTCAGTCACACTGGGTGATGGTTCTGGGTACCCTGTCCCTAGGGTTGGGCATCGGTTCAATTCAACAATTCCAGTTCCTCGTTTTGATTCCGGTTGTTATCGATTTCTGATTCTTTCTAGAGGCAGGATCCAATAAGCCCCAGGTCTGACTTGAACATGAACATCACGTTTGTGACCGACACACGGCGGCAGATCACTTTTTCCTTCCACGGAGATCAGCCGCAGATTCATCTTCCCATCGGCGGACCGGGAATCAAAACTAGGAATGGAAAAATTTGAACGGTTCAAACTGGCAGTTAGTCCCAGTTCCAGTCGATGCTCAACCCTACAGGGTTGGCCTAGCCACACCTGTCTTACCTGAGTGAGTGATGGTGGTGCTGAGGGAACCAGGTGTGCTGAAGCAGAGGACAGTGGATCCAGACTGAGGGATGAAGACCTGAACTGTGTTGCACTCTGCCTACAGGTCCATCAGTACCGGTTCGCCATGACTGCCAAGGACTGCTCCCTCATGGTCACTCTGGTGTCCAGCGAGGAGGAAGAGGAAGACGATGAAGAGTAGGTTTTAGTCTGCATGGTTTTGTGCTACTGCATTAGTCCAGCAGGTGGAGACATCACCTGACGTCCTCTCTCACCCCCTCTCCAGTCTCCCCCCTCAGAGGCATGTCTGCAGACCTCATCCTTTCTCCTCCTCCGTCTCCATCTTGGATTTGGACCCGAAGCCGTTTGACAGCATCTCCAGGCAGCTGCGTCTGGACCAGAAGATCGTGTCATGCTACCTAAAGACCAGTGGTGCCTTGCCCAAGGGTGGTCTGCCGCTGCTCTCTAACAGGATCACAGCGACGGAGAGGGACGACTGCAGGCTGCTGTTCCACCCGGTGTGAACGTCAGACTGCTGCTTCCTCTGAATCCAGATGTTTGTTCCTCACTCCAGAGGTCACGTTGCCACGGTGACCAGATCAGGAAGCGAGGCCCAGTTCTCTCGTGTTTTAGGTTGTTTGGACCTCAGGTGGTCATAGAAGGATCTGGGTTTTAGGTGTGTGTGTAGGGGGGTCTCCTTCTACCCAGAATGCTTTGTGTTTATTGATGTCAAAGGTCAGAAGTCAAAGAGCTGTCAAAAGGTCACGTGCTGGGGGGGACTCAGGATTCAGATCAGCTGTCTGACCTTCTGTAACAAAACATGTTTTTGATCTTTGTACTGTCACTGACCCTGATCCGGACCAGAATCCAGCTTTCTCCAGGCTTGAAGGAAGGTTCTGGGCTTTTGCACAATGTTATATTGGTTTAGTGGAGTCAAAAGTCAGAGCAGATCAACGGAAGGTTCTGGTCTGGTGCTGCTCTCCAGATGCCATAAGTGACTTCCTGTTGTTTGTGACCAGAAATCAACCCACCGTGACCCAGCTCACAAAGGTGTCGTTCAGTGGTCACACTTGGTTCCTGTTGGCGCTGTCCAACCCATGTGACCGCTGTCAGCCAATCAGATCAGCAGCGGAGTTTGTGTGGACGGTGGCGACCGGAACCAACCGCTAACCGCTTTGTTCATGGGAGTTCTGATCACGTTGGACAGCTGATGTCTTGGTTCTGATCCAAACGGCTTTTTATGACACTAAATTACAACAGCAAGGTGTTTCTTCATAAGATTTATGTTACTAAAGTTTGTGTTTAGTTGGTTTTATCACAGCGAGCTGCAGCCTGATTGGTCGGTTCCAGAAGGAAAACTATTAAGGAAAGAAAAGAGACGCTGCTGCTGTTCAGCGTTTTGTATTTAAATTATTTATTTTTGTAGATTTTGCTGTTCCTGCATCAGCCACGCTCTCAGAATAAAGATTTGTACCAGACCAACATGGCTCCGCCTCCTTTCTGCTCTAACTGCTGGGTTCAGCATCTGGTAGAAGACCCACGCCCCGGATGACGGACTCGATGGTGGCCTCAGGTCCCAGGGTCCTCAGCAGGCTCTGAAAGGCCTCAGCAGCACCACCTGCTGGCTGCGAGTAGAACTGCAGAGCTGCAGGAAGAGACATCACATCTGGATCAACATCTGAGCTGCTCCAGCAGAACCAGCATCAGATTACAGGAAAAAACAGCTGCAAGTTAAGTTCATCATAACTGATTGATAATTGTGGAAGACTGCTTTCTAAATGAGGCTCTGAGCAGAACCTGCAGACAAAACTCAGGGCTGCAGGAACTTCCCGATAATGACATCCAGCTGTTTTGCTGGTAGTTTTGGTTCTGCGCCTATCAGCTTGTCCTCCTGTCCAACACAAACTCCTCACCTTGTTCTGGGATCTTTGGCAGCAGGCGGATCTTCAGAATGACGGCTCCCTCCGTGGAAACTTCAAATGACCAGTAAACAAAGAAAACACAGCTACAAACAAAAACAATTTCAGACACAATCAGCAGAGTTTGTGTTCCACCAGGATGAGTTTTTACCCAGAAAGCTCGGGGTGACTCAGGCGCATGACCTCTGACCTGCAGCCTCCAGGAAGAGATACAACCAATGGAAACTTTTCCTGCAGAAACAAACAGATCATTTCATATATTTATTAGACTTAATTACAGAATAAATAAGAAGGAAATCGGATCAAGTTTAGATAATAAAGCAAGGGTCTAACTAATCCAAACCCGAAGCAGTGAGTTTCCGGTTGGGGAAACATCAACAGAAACGGATCAGGCAGAACTCAGGCACCAACAGACGAGGACGTCATGGGTGTGAAGCTTGTTACATGATGCAAAAACCAATAACTTGGCAGGAAGCTGCTGGTAGGATTAGATCCTCCAGGTGGCACCAGAATCACACTAAGCATCATCGTGACTTTACTTATGGAGCACATTTAACATCCAGCATGAGCGCTGACCTAAGTTTTTCCCTGCAGGTGGAGAAAAGTAAAAACAATAACACAAAAATGATGCAATAAAAACACAGAAATAACATTAAAACAAATCCATAGAAGTATTCTTTAAACAAGATTTAAAATCCTCCAGAGAAGGAGCCTGCCTTTCACCATCAGGCAGGTTCTGGAAGAGTCCATGTTCTGTTTCAGAACACACGCCCTCAGGCAGAAGTGAGGGAGTGTGTCCAGGTGACTCAACCAGGATTCATGAGATGTTCACATCTGTTTTCCTGGAATCAGAACCAGATCTAACCACAACTGGGTTCTGTTTTTGAAGAAAGACACCCTGACCCAGTCCAGCTGACCTCCAGGTCCAGTTCTGGTACCAGAACTCAATCATTCAGGCAGAAAAATGCTTGGGGGATGAACCAGAGATTAAACGGGATCTCCTGGATGGATAAAGCTTCTGCCTCACAGATGTGGTCCGGTTTCCGTACACCTTCCACATCATCATCATCATCATCATCCTCATCCTCCTTTATTTATAAAGCACGTTTAAACAGCGACTACGCCAACCAAAGTGCTGTACAAGACGATAGGACACCAAACTAGAAGACAGAAGCATAAAATAAATAAAACACTTAAAAACTAAAGTAACAGATCAGCAAACTAGAAAACTGCGGCGTCATTAGATAAAAATAAGTTAAAAAAAACCTAAAATAACAGACAAACTTAAGGGTTAAACAATCTCAGCTGGGTAAGCCAGGGAATAAAAATATGTCTTCAGACGTAAAAGTCGGAAGGAAGGGGGCAAGTCGGCCCGTCAGGGGGAGTTGGTTCCAAAGCTTAGGCGCACAAACTGAAAAAGCCTGTTCGCCACGTGCCCTATAGCGAGCTGGAGGGACGAGCAGAAGGTGCTGGTCAGAGGACCTCAAGGTTCGCACCGGAACATAGGGGCTTAAAAGCTGCGCCAAATAAAAGGGTGCCATTTCATGCAAAGATTTATACACCAGCAGTAGAATTTTAAACTTAATCCGAAACTGAACAGGAAGCCGGTGCAAATTTGCCAAAACAGGTGAGATGTGTTGCCATCGGTCTGTGTTTGTTAGAAACCTCACTGCAGCATTCTGTACCAATTGTTTATGTTTATGTATTTAGCAGACGCGTTTGTCCAAAGCGACTTACAAGTGATAATCGGCATGTTGCCCTTGAGGCTAACAACAACAATAACAACAACAACTTGGCATCAGTCATGGAGAGGAGGGAACAAGGAGTGGACGGTAGAGAGGGGGGACGGGTGCAGGGAGGGTGCTAGTTTAGAAGATGCTCTCTGAAGAGCAGGGTCTTCAGAAGTTTCTTGAAAATTGAAAAGGAAGCCGCAGTTCTGGTAGTGCTTGGTAGGTCATTCCACATTTGTGGAACGATGCATGAGAAGAGTCTGGATTGTCCTGAGCGTGGTGTAGGCACTGCTAGCCGACAATCCTGTGATGACCGGAGCGGCCGGGCCGAGACGTAAGCCTTTGCAAGAGGATTCAGGTAGATGGGAACCGTACCATCTCGGACTTTGTATGCTAGTGTTAGCAATTTGAATTTGATGCGTGCTGCTAGCGGTAGCCAGTGGAGCTCAATGAACAGAGGGGTGACGTGTGCTCTTTTGGGCTGATTGAAGACCAGACGCGCCGCTGCATTCTGGACCATTTGAAGAGGTCTCACAGTACAGCCTGGAAGACCAGTTAGAAGGGCATTGCAGTAATCGAGGCGGGAGATGACAGTAGATTGCACCAGGAGCTGGGTGGCTTGTTGTGTTAGGTATGGTCTGATCTTTCGTATGTTATACAGCGCAAAGCGGCATGAACGAGCAACAGAGGTAGCATGATCTTAAAGGTCAGGTGTTCATCAATCACAACACCCAGATTTCGAAAAAGCTACTTAATTACAGTAAAGTGAGTAAATGTAATTTGTTACTTTCCACCTCTGCAGGCCACCCGGAGAAGCTGGAAGGAGGTTGGAGGTTTAACCTTTCTCCACCACCGCTCACATCTCCTACATTCCCACATGGCAGCACGGGTATGACCGTTGAGCCAAGGGTCAGAGTGACAGCGGGCAGTGTCGGGATCTTAGAGGACCGCCGGGAGCAACGCATACAAAAGGGTATTGTAGCCTGCACACTGGCGTCTGATGGTTTTTATAAACAAATCTCCAGTCTACCCAACAAACAGCCAAATTTATTTTACAACCCAGTCTTCACAAATTCTCTCAGATACTTAAGAAAGGTTTTGCTAAAACATCTAGCTTCCTTTCCATCATTTCACACCTCACATTGAATCACTTCATATCCATCTTTTCATTCATATCTTGTCATGTATAATCATTAGTTTAGGGAAAAGAAGTCAATTCATTTTTTATAAACTGGATTCAATTCAATTTAAGTTTATTTCTAAAGTGCCCAATCACGACACGAGTCGTCTCAAGGACCTTCACACAGTAAACATTCCAAAACTGGTCAGGTCATTAAGCCAATCAGTAAAAAGTTTCCTATATAAGGAACCCAGCAGGTTGCATCGGGTCACTGACTAGTGTCAGAGTCTTTACAGCAATCCTCATACTACGCAAGCATGTAGCGACAGTGGAGAGGAAAACTCCCTTTTAACAGGAAGAAACCTCCAGAGGATCCTGGCTCAGTATAGAGCTCTGGACGTCACGTGACTCTCAGAGAGTAGACGCCATGTTGGCAGGCAACAAAGGTAAACAAAATGAACGGGATCGGCTTGGATTTTACTCCGTTGGAGTTTACTTCATACTTTAAAACCGAATAAATCATTTTATATAGTCAGAAAGTAAATAGATTAAACATCTCCGGCCCTTTCCATGCTGCTGGGATACTTTTTAAAAACGCCAGAAGCTATCAGAGCGGACCTGGTCAGGGAACGCCTTGGGATTTCCCCAGAGGAGCTGGCCCAAGTGGCTGGGGAGAGGGAAGTTCCTCTCGACTTAGGCAACTGTCCCCGTGACCCGACTCCGGATAAGCAGATGAAAATGGATGGATGGATGGACAAATACATGTAAGAAGTTTAAATAGAGTGCTGTGCTGTTTGAATGTATAAACTGAACGCCAAGAGAAATCACTAGTTAGATTTTTTTTCCGTGAATAAAATAAATATGTCAGGCAGGAGCGTCTCAGGATCTGTCTGAGATCTGTCTCGGTGAGACAGATAATAGCAATCCAAAGAGCTTTTTATGTGTGATCTGACAATTGATCAACCATTGCTTAAAATGAAATACAGCTTAGCCGGTTGATTGCTGTGATCATAAAACACGGAAACGACAGCACGCAGAAATCACGAGGCAACGTTTTACGTAATGTTTACTTGTTGCTATGAGTAATAAGACAGAAAAAGCCACGCCGAAATAAGTTTAGGAAGCCCACTAAGAATCGTAATAAAAACATTTAAAATAAATACCACACACAGTTGATATGAAGTGGTCGCTGCATAAGCGAAAACCTTTACTCTCGGGATCCCACAGCTTCATTTTAGCCCGGTCACTAGCGAGTTTGACTGCAATGATCAAATGTTTGCAGTGTTCCGGATCTTGGGGAATCCTGTAGAAGGCTAATCTCTTATGTCAGCCGCTTCTGTTCTGGCATCCTGGGGCACAACAGAAATCTACCATATTTCCCGTTTGATTGAGTTTTCTGACAATAACAAATAGTCCAGCTGCGGACTTCTGCCTGCCAATATGGCGCCGATTTGAACTGTTGCATGCCGGGAGAAGTGACGTCAACTCCCGGAGCTCTATAAGCACCCATCCACCATGACTCACTGGGGATGGAGAAGACAGAGCACACACACATGCATGCATGCACGCACGCACGCACGCACACACACACACACACACACACACACACACACACACACACACACACACACACACACACACACACACACACACACACACACAAGTAGTGTTTCTATGGCTTCATTGTGGTTTCTTAGTAAATATTCTATTTGGTGAGAGATAAACTTTATTGTATTTATTCTAGTGAATCTATAGTTAAACGGGTAAACTAGTAGTAGCACATTCAATGTCAAAGAGAGTAAAATGTTATTATCAGGAGAGGGAGAATGTTTAAGTGGTTAGCAGCAGTGTGCTCGCCGATGGCCCCCTCCATGAGGCTACCACAGCTCGGAATGCCGGCTGTTTCTACCTGCAGCCCGGTCCATCTCTTGACTGATCGTGACTTCTGTGTGCTGCGGCGGGCTGACGGCTGGTTCTTATGGCAAGCCAGAACCGCCAAAATAGGCTACTTCTCCCCGCAGCTCGGCGCATCTCTGTCTGATCGCGGCTTCTGTGTGCTGCTGACGTGGAGCTCTGGGATGGAAACCTTTCCACAGGTCTCGGAGACCTCTGTGTTCCACCCGGTTTTACCCAGTGGTCAGCCCGGCGTATCTCTGACTCAGAAGCTCTGGTGTTGTGCACAGTTAACCCCGGTTGTAGCTAGGTTGCTACCCCCGTTAGCTTAGCTCCCACCTCCGCATTAGCTTTGGGTTAGCTTCAGGTTAGCTTGTAGCTAGTTCAACCGGGTGTCGTCAGTTGATCCCAGCCTTACAGCCCCACCCTCAGCTCCTCCTCTCTTCCCTTTTGTGGAATTGTCTGGGCTTGACGGAACCTGTGACACAGTCAAAATGGCGGTGGTGGCCACCTCCCATTTGGCCTCAAAAAAGTGATATGGAGCCTATGGAAACCCATTGTCCATATATTAATGTCGATGGCTAGAACCAGTAATTCATTATAATAATGGGCATAGAGCACTGTCGGTGATGCTAGGCTACTACGTAGCCCTGGGGGCAGTCTCACAGAGGCAAGGATGCCATCAGCCCCTCTGACCACCACCAACAGAGGCAGGTGTCAACAGTAGAATACCCTGGAGGGAGCTCAGATCAGTCCCACAACCCACTCTACCTCCCGAACAACTGCTGCCCTCGTAGGTCACGTTATTTTACAGATTTACTTTCAAATGTTTCTTCACCAATCTGTTGTTCCAGTTATCATTATTAGTGGCAACCCGTTCGGCTTTGACCGATCCCACAGGTTAGAGATCAGAACCGTGAAGTTGTTTGACGTTTCAGGATCTCTTTTCTTCCAGAACTTTAGCATCACACGACCTTTGACCTACAGACAAACTCTTTTCTGGGCTCCATTTGTAAAGCATCGGCTCAGATTGCCTGCAGCATGTTGGCAGCGTCCTCGTGGAGACAGGAAGAGACATGTTGGACCTGTCTCACCCTCCTCCCTGTTCAGCTCAACACAACAACTGAGCCAGACACACACCACTGCTGCAGCTGCAGGAGAACCAGAGGAGGAGCAGAGGAGAACCAGAGGAGAACCAAAGGAAGACAGGAGAAGCTGCGGTTGGGGATCTGTCTTCATGTAGCAGGTGAGGCAGAGACACTGTCCACATGTCTTTGGAGTATTAATACGTTGATTATGGCCGGTCCTTGATGCCCCTATCAGCTGAATCAAAATCTGGAGGATCTCAAATCTTCTGGCTTCTCCATCTGAACCTGTTCATCCAGAAACTGCTACCACCCCCCACCCCCCCCCCACCCCCACCCCGGCTTCCTGTGGTGGTCCAGCACCAGAACCAGCTGTGTGGAGCAGAACCGTGTAAAGCTTCAGCAGGTCTGTGACTGGTTCACCTCAGCAAGACAAACATTAGTTTTGGTGTTTGTCCTGAACCGGATGACGATCTGGACCAGAACCAGACTCCATTTTCCACCGACATCCAGAAGAATCAGACAGAAGACAAACAATCAGCTGAGTGGAGGCGTGTGTCCCCTCTGTTTTAATAATGACAGGTCTGGTGTGTTAGAGTAGTCATTACACACACACACACGCACGCACGCACGCACGCGCGCGCACGCACACACACACACGCACACACACACACGCACACACACACACACACACACACACACACACACACACACACACACACACACACACACACACACACACACACACTGGGCTATAATGATCCCAGCAGCTGGACTCAAAGCTTCTTCTCTCCGAAGCTGCTGCAGGTAAAACTCTGTCTCTACTGGTCTTACTGGTGTCTGAACAGCTCCACTTGGGAAGACTTAGACTATATTAGTTGTGAGTTGTGTGTTGATAGAGCAGCACTGACCTCTGATCCTGAACCAGCAGCTTAGAAAATGGTTTGACTGATTTGAACTGAAACCTGATCCTGGATCTGCTGCTGTGCAGGATGAGGTGGTGGCTGGTGGGGGTCGGTCTGTGGCTGACGGTGGTCCTGGTCGTTCCAGACGTCCAGGCCGGGGGGAGACCTCCAAACCCCCAGGGGGAAGAAGGTCACAGAGGGAAGAGGAAGAGAGATGGAAAGGGTGAGCTAGCTACCCACTTCCTGTGTGGAGACTACCTAACCCGGATCAGAACCGTACTATAACCCCAGTTTGTGCTGCAGGCCGAACCAGAGAGGGACGTTCCAGACCCCTGAAGATCAGACTGGTTCCTGGTCCTAACATCCTAGAGAAACCAGCAGCAAACCAAGGAAGTTCTGGGTTTCTGAAAGTTTATCGGAGCACCAAGGATCAGCAGTCCAGCTACAGCGTTATTCCAGGTCAGTAACAACCTCGACTCGGATAAAGGTCAGCAAAACCTACCACTAATCATTCTTTTGACTTTTCATTCATCAGCTTCAGAAACAGAAAGAAAATAATTTAACAATCTTGGTTCTTTAATGATGGTTCTGATTTGAACGAGTCCAGGTCCTTCTGGACCCAAACCTGGATTCGTCAGAACTGGATCACCCAGAGGCAGGCTAAACCCCTAACCAGACACAGAACCAGAACAAAAGCTACCTGTTTTCACCGCTCAGTCATTTAATGACAAATCATCACATTCCCAAACGGGGAGAGAGAAACAACATCTGCTAGCTGGGAATCATCCCCCTCTGGGAATGGGACACACTTTAATTAGAAGGAAGGGGGCAGAACTCTGCTGCTGCTCAGCTGCAGAGGTTCGGTTCTACCGTGGTTCTGCTGCTGTCAGCCCAGCATGGACGTAATTTTCACTTTAGAAGTGGGGGGACACGGGGGGGGGGGTATCTTTACAGTATGTTCTAATGGGAAACCGGTTTCAACACAAACGGTTGTTTTCCGCTTGGTCCTAGAGCTCAACCAGTGTCAATTTAATATAGCGTAATGTTGTTTTTGGATGGTAAAAAGTGCAGGGGTCAAAACTTGACTTTGGAAAAAGTGGGGGGGGGGGGGGGGGGGGGGGGGGGCATGTCCCCCCTGTCCCCCCCCCCCAAAATTACATCCATGCAGCCCAGAGCAATGAGAAGAACCTTATGGCTGCAGTGATGTCTGAAAGACAAGTTTACTAAAAGCCTTTGTTGCTGCCTTTATCCTAGTGAATGTATCATTAACTCAACAGGTAAACTAGTAGTAGCACATTCCATGTTAAAATGTTATCATAGTGGTTGGCAGCAGTGTGCTAGCATTAGCTTTAAAATCATTTCTTCAGATTAAAATACATAAATTATAAAAAAAACATAACATCACACACACATAAAATTAGTTATTGCAGCAATTCTTTAGCATAAATTATGACAGCCTTATGGACGTGTCTTAATCTAATTTCCACCATTTTACGTTTCACGAGGAAAAAAGCTGAAAAGCGTTACATTTGTGGGGCAGAAGATGGAGGAATCTATTGTCCAATAGCAAAAGAGAACAGGAAGGGGTGCAGTAAGACTCCAAATAACTGGTGAATCAGATCCTACTGTTATTTATCCAAAACCTGCAATCATGACAGCAAAAACGAGCCTGTGGGCTGCAGAGATGATATTTTAGAGAGAAGAGAAAAGCTCTAAAGTAGGAGTGCTCCAGCTGAGATGACAGGGTGACCACCTGCTCACAACTAAAGGACAGAAATAATAGAGCCACAGCCTTTTGGAGAAACTACCCAAGCCTCTTTAATTACTTGCTCCTGCAGCCGTACTGGAGCGTACCATTAGCAGGTCCAGATGAGAAACAGGCCCCAGTCAGAACAGATCCAGAGAGCTTCTTCTCTAACTCACTGGAGGACTCGGGGCCCGTTACCCTCAGGGCCTGTTACCCTCAGGACTTGTTACCCTTACGGCCCATTACCCTCAGGGCCGGTTACCCTTAGAGACTGTTACCTTCAGGGCCTGTTACCCTCAGGGCCTGTTACCCTCAGGGCCTGTTACCCTCAGGGCCTGTTACCCTTAGGGCCCATTACCCTTAGGGCCCATTACCCTCAGGGCCGGTTACCCTTAGAGACTGTTACCTTCAGGGCCTGTTACCCTCAGGGCCTGTTACCCTTAGGGCCCATTACCCTCAGGGCCTGTTACCCTTAGGGCCCATTACCCTCAGGGCCTGTTACCCTCAGGGTCCGTTACCCTCAGGGCCTGTTACCCGTACGGCTTGTTACCCTCAGGGCCCGTTACCTGTAAGACTTGTTACCCTTAGGGCCCATTACCCTCAAGTCCTGTTACCCTCAGGGCCCATTACCCTCTAGGGCTTGTTACCCTCAGGGCCCATTAATTATAGATGATCTAAATACTTTTTCTTTCTGTTGGATTGTCCAGACTCAAATGAATCTTTCCTATCCAAACAGTCATTATTGTTTAAAGTTCTTATTTTTTCTATTGTTCCTGGTAGAAATTAACAGTCCAGATATCCACGAGAAGATTCTTACTGAATGAGCATTTCAGATATCTGACATATTTGTTCTAGATAGTCAGAATCATTCAGTTATAAAATCATTTTTGTACAAGGTCACAGTTTCTTTGGTAGTCTGGGGATCGAATCCCGCCTGGGCCCTCGTTTCTCCACCTTGCCACACTAGGTAACTAATTGCTTTTCCAACGTGGTAACTGAGTTACTAACTCAATTATTTTTTAGCAAGAGTAATTTGTAACTGTAACTAATTACTTTTTTAACGTAAGATGCCCAACACTGGATATAATGCAGGCAATAAGTTTTTTGTTTTTGCTAAGCCGTCTCTGTCCGGTAGAGCTCTATACAATTTGAACCGAGCACTGTTCAGTATCAACCAACAGCGTTAGAATTCTGCTTAGCACAAATGTCAATCACAGAGCATGCACGAGCTTTTCTCATGGACAAGTAAGTCTTTATAATATACATTAAATGTGCAGTATGTAAGAATATAGTGAGAATTTTACAGTAAGAAAATCCCAAAAGAGTCTGAAGTTTTAGTCTTTTGGAAAGAAGGTTTTACTGAAACATGTTTCATACTAGCTGGCTGTAGGAATAGTCAGTTTTTCTCCTTTCAAAACAAAGGAAGGAGGGGCATAACTACTGTTTATTTGTTTATTAGTGAATGTGTGTGTGTGTGTGTGGTTGCAGTAACCACATTTTACCACAGGATGTCATTTTTACTTTATTTCTACATAATGCACCTTTAAAGTCATCATCACACCCTGGTGAAATTACATCTCCAAATGTTACCCATCACCATGGGGAGCAGTGAGCTGCAGGTGTGGCTGCACTCAGAAACTATCTGGTAGGGATGCACCGATCAGGTTTTTTGCTGCCGATCACCGATACCGATATCAAAGAATGCTGATCACCGATACCGATCACGTGGATTGGCCAGAAATTTTCTACAACATTTTAATTAGTGGTACAAACTACATAATCTGGGAATAAAGGAAATGTAACCTAATCTAAAATGGTCTGTATTAGGGTTGTCACGGTGTGAAAATTTAACCTCACAGTTATTGTCACCAAAATTACCACGGTTTTCGGTATTATCGCGGTATTTTTTTTAAACGTGCTATATTTTCACACAATTAAATAAACCCTGTATGTCAGGAAATATTGTCCTCAGTTTGTGTCTAAATTTGGCCTAAAATGTGTTATTTTGTAATTATGTTGTTTATTTGTTTACATTTTTCCCCTTTAGTCTTTAAAATACCAATATTTGCCCATAACTTCTTATTTTTTGTCTGTTTGATGTCATCATTTAAAAATATTAGATCAGACGATACTCAGTACTCATTTTAGCTAAAACTCTAACGTTAACTTGCCTTGCGTTGACTGCAGAGTTGTGGGTGATGGTCACGCAGATGTGTCATGAGATTTGAAGCGTTGCTGCCTTTCACAGACACTTTTTCTGCACGTGCTGCAAACAAGATAGCCGTCTTCTATAAACTCCCGCGGCATTCTTCAAATATCTAAAATATGCCCGTACTTCCCACTTTGTCTTCTTTGAGGGATAATAAATGTCCTCCTGAGCACTGCCGTCTCCTCCTTTGACCATTATTTCAGCTTTAGCTTCAAGAAAGTTTTGGTTGTAAACAACAAAGGGTGCATGTGCCGCCGGCAACATCAGCCGATGATACGGTGGCTGGTAAGGGTCACCGCACCTACACCGCAGCCACGGTAAACCCACCGAGATAATATAGTTTTTTAAAAAACAAGACGGTTATTATTATTGTCAACTTTTTTTTTACCGGGGTTTACCGCTACACTGGTTACCGTGACAACCCTACCTGATCGGTCTGCTTTGATCTATTTTGAAAATTCCGATCAAAACCGATAGGGAAGCTATCGGCCGATTACGATCAAATGCCGATCCATCGGTGCATCCCTACTATCTGGTAGTAAAACCACCCCAGTCTAACCCACTAGATGGCACTGTTGGATAACAAAATCCTGGATGATAGCTTTAAATGTACACTGTACATGACAGCAGAATAGAACATTCAGTCTGTTACTCTACAATTGTAATATTTCGTTTAATCTCAAACCATTTTGATTTCCGTCCTGACTACAATTACTACTTCTACTGTTAGCCTATTGGTTCGCCCGGAGCTGAGGGAACTTCTATTTCAGCAACCAGGGACTGAAACTCACCGTCACTTAAGGTTTTATTTTTTTTTGGAAGAATGCAGGGATTTACCTCACAAACTTTAGAGGACGTAGCATGACCAAATATGGTTAATTGAGGGTGTTTCTGTATGTAAATGACTGTAAACGGTTTAATAAATTAGGATTTGGGCCATTTGTAAAAACATTAAAAATTTCATTCATAAGATGGAATATAGGATAGTTTCTACCAACGTTTGAAAAATGAGGGCCCTGAGAGCTAACACTTTTGGCGCTTACACATTAGGGTCAGTATGGTCGGGTACGGGACCGGAATTTGGTTTCACACCTGGGTCGGATATGAGTTTTCTGGTCTGAGGTGACCCTGTTTTCCCAGCTTTTCCTCTGAGGTCCGACTGGGACAGAAGTGACACTACGGACAGACTGGCCAGCTACTGCCTCCGATTGGCGAGTAGAATCAGCCAGCGTGTGTGTGTGTGTGTGTGTGTTCCTGCATGCATGATTCATTTTAATCCTGGATGCTATTGAGTAAACATCTCTGTAGCACAGAGCTGCCACCCTGTGGGAAAGGGAAAAGATAGCTGCGTGTGTGTCCTCTGAGCAGCAATCTTCGCTGCATGGAGTTCTCACCACAACTGCTCAATGGGAGGAGAGAGCAGCGAGTGTGTGTGTGTGTGTGTGTGTGTGTGTGTGTGTGTGTGTGTGTGTGTGTGAGCGGAGCTTGAGGACATGCACGGCAGTGAGAGAACAGGGGGCAAATTAATAAAATAAGATGATTCACAGTCTCCAAAAGTTTATCTTGTTATGGAGGTCACAGCGGACTTTTCCACGCATCCTAAAGGCCGCCCACATGCTGGAGGATTCCGCATTCCCGAGAACTTCTTCAAAACTACATGTGAACACTACACGTATGAGACCGGAGTAACACGATCCTACCCCAACCGTACTGACCCTAATGTGAAATCACCATTAGTGCACTAAACTGGACCATCCTCTTCAGACCTGATTGGTGCCTGCATGATCTGGACTAGAGCAGAAATATCAGCCAAGGTCCATGATACGCCCCAATCCAGAAGACTACTACACCCAGATCCAGATGGAGACAGCAGCACCATCATACATCCTGTCTTCACGGAGGAAGGAAGTGGAGCTGGAGAAGACACACACACACACACACACACACACACACACACACACACACACACACACACACACACACACACACACACACACACACACACACACACACACACACACACACACACACACACACACACACACACACACACACACACACACACATTCTCTGCTATTCCTGCCTCAACATTCTGAACCTTCTCGTGACTCCACAGTTCCCAATGACCCCAGCGAAGCCGTCGTCCCGCTGACCCAGGAGGAGATCCAGAAAATCCTGTGGCGGGAGGAAGTGGAGCACCGTGAGGAGGAGGAGCGCCTAAGGAAGAAAGATGAGGCAAGAAGAAAGAGAAGGAAGGAAAGGAAAGAGCAAGAGGAGATACAGAGGAAGATAGTAGAAGGCAAGAGAAGGAAGGAAGAGGAGGCTCTGAGGCTGCAGGTGGAGAAAGAGGAGGAGTGGAGGAAGCAGATAGAGGAGGCTGAAGAAAGGAGACGTCAGGAAGAACAGATCCAGAGAGAGGAGGAAGAGAGGAAAAATAAAGAAAAAGAAGCATTAGAAAAGGAAAGAAAGCTAAAGGAGGAAATGAGGAAACAGGAGGAAATACAGAGGATAGAGGCAGAGGAGCGACAGAGTGAGGCAGAGGAAAAGGAGGTGTGGCTCAGAGGAGACGTGTTCCAGATGACCCCAAAAGAACCTGACCTCCTCCCAGTTCCCATCCCAATACCTCCTGCATTGACAGAGGAGCAGGAGGAGACGGAGCTAGGAGAGGAGAACCTGATGACGAGGAGAAGTGGAGGAGCAGGTCTTCCTCTAGGCTGTGACATCTCTGATGTTACGTTAACCTGTGAGAATGCCCAACTCAGACACTTTCCACCTCTGAGCATCAGTGAGCTGAAATCCCTCAGCCTGGAGGGTGAGACACACACCTACTAAACACACCTACTACACCTATCTACTACACACCTACTACATGTACCTACTACACACCTACTACAAATCTACTAGACACACCTACTACATACATTTACTAAACACACTTACTACACACCTACTACACTTATCTACTACACATATATACTAGACAAACCGACTACACACATCTACTAAACACACTTATTACACATATCCACTAGACACACCTACTACACACATTTAGTAAACACACTTACTACACATCTACTACACTTATCTACTACACCTACTACACATATCTACTACACACCTACTATAAATCTACTAGACACACATCTATTAAACACATTTACTACACACTTACACTTATCTACTACACACCTACTACAAATCTACTAGACACACCTACTACACTTATCTACCACACACCTACTACAAATCAACTAGACACACCTACTACACATATTCACTAAACACACCTACTACACATATTCACTAAACACACCTACTACACACATCTACTAAACACACTTACTACACACCTACTAAACTTATCTACTACAGACCTACTACAAATCTACTAGACACACCTACTACATACATATACGAGACACACCTACTTCACACATCTACTAGACACACCCACTACACATATGTACTAGACAAACCTACTACACATATCTACTACACACCTATTATGCATGTCTACTAAACACACCTACTACATGCACCTATTACATACCTACTAGGCACACCTATTACACATATCTACTAAACACACCTATTATAGATATCTACTAGAAACACTTGCTACACATATCTACTAGACACACCTACTACACGTATCTACTACATACCTACTACAAATCTACTAGACACACCTACTACAAATCTACTAGACACACCTACTACACATATCTACTAGACACACCTAATACACAAAACTACTAGACACACCTAATACACATATCTACTAGACACACCTATTACACATACCTACTAGACACATCTACTACACATATCTACATACCTACTACACATATTTACTAGACACACCTATTACACACACCTACTACACTCACACACCTACTAGATACACCAACACACAGACCTACTACACACATCTACAAGCACCTATTACACATATCTACTAGACACACCTACTACACATATCTACTAGACACACCTAATGCACCTATCTACTAGACACACCTACTATGAAAAGCACCTTGCTTTTAACTGGAGTCAATCAGGCATAATTTGGGTGTTAGGTACAGTCTGGACAGCAGAATGTACCTAACAGGTAAGGTCCTAGTCAAATGAGGTCACATTGCCTGAAAAAAAAAAATCACAAATCCATATGTTTTCATACATAATTCATATTTGTATTCCTACAGATGCCATTTTCTCTGAAAGATTTTGGTGAAAGTGAGACATATCCTTCACTCTGACAGGTTTTGGACCTATGGAGCAGAGAGTAAAACAAATGATAAAATAACTATGAAGAAAGTGTTCCAAATGCTTTACTGTTGATGATTATCTTGGGACCCATGGGATCCCAGTACCAGTTTAGGGCTTAAACAAAAACAACTAGACCTGGTTCAGGCTATGGTCAGGGCTCAGTGTTCCAGCTTTCAGGTGTTGATATTCAAACCTTTGTGATCTGCAGGTAACAACATCACCAACATTCCAGCAGGAGCCTTTAATGGCATTCCCAACCTGGAATGGATCAACCTAAAGAAAAACAAGCTCACCTCGGCTGGAATCGATGCTAACTCCTTCAAGGTAAGACCATATACCACTAGACCAGATATGGACCTGTAAATGGTTCCCAGAATGACAAAATGTTCTATGTCAGGGTCTGAAGATGCTGAGGCGACTGTACTTGGATGAGAACCTCCTGGACACCATGCCCCCTGACCTTCCACCCACTCTGCAGGAATTGAAGATCAATGAGAACAAGCTCAGCAGAATTGATGAAAATAGCTTCCAAGGTACCAATGACTGTCAAAAAACCATCCAAATGCTTGTGTGTCCACAGTTCAGGTCCTTGAGGACCACCATTTTGTAGGTCACTTCCTTAGCAGCTCCGCAAATTCTACAGGAGACAGTTAATTCCACTGACCTAGATCGAGTGAATTGGAGAAGAGAAATCCTTTTGTGTGTGTGTGGAACAGCTGCAGCTTAGACATCTCATGGGGCTTAAAGGAGATGTACAGTTGAATGTCATCTGCATAAAGATGGTAGGAGAGTCCTTTAAAGGAGCTCAGGCTGTGCTAAAGAGGAAGCAGACAGAGGGGGAAGTGTAGGGGCCCCAGTACAGAACCTTATGGGACACCATAGGTGAGGGAGGTGGTGGAGAACCTAAACTTGGAGATGGCCACAGAGAAGGAACACTCAGATAGATAAGAGGAGAACCACTCCAGTGGCAGCTAACTTGGCAATTTGAAAGAGCAAATTGTAAGTTAGAGACTCCCATGAACCAATGTTTAGTTCTAGTTCTAGTTTGGGTGTGGAACTAGATTCCGACCAGTCTATGACTCCTCAAGTCAACACATCCGTCAGGTCGTGCTTTTTCCAGCTTTGCCAGATCACTCGCCTTAAGCCCATTCTCAAACGCCTGCATCTCGAGTCAAGTCATCCACAAGTTCATTACCTCCCATCTAGATTATGCAAATGCAGTCCTGATTGGGATTAGTGCTTCCGCCTTGGGCAGACTACAGAAGGTTCAAAATGCTGCTGCCAGATTCTTAACCAACACCAACAGACGCACACGCATCTCTCCCATTCTTGCAGACTTACACTGGCTCCCAGTCAAATTTAGAATTCAATTAAAAATTCTGCTTTGTCTACAAGGCTTTGAACTGCCCTTCACCCTCTTACCTAGCCCACCTGCTGCGTTTCCACACGCCCACTCGTGCCCTTCGTTCAGCTGATCAGCTGCTGCTGATTGTTACGAAGGTTTGCTATAAATCTCGGGGTGAGCGTGCCTTCTCTCTGCAACTCTCTGCCCCTCCACGAGCGTCAGGCACCTCCCCTCTGTAGGTTTAAGTCTGCCCTCAAAACACACTATTTTAATCTGGCTTTTCCCTCGACTGTCTTCATATGTCAGTGTGACGCTTCTCTATTAGCGACAGCTTGTGATGTTCTTCTGTACATTTTAGCTCACTAACGTTGCTCAGTTAGTTTTTACTTGTTTGTCTTTTATCTCTTATCTTAGTGCTTTTACTTGTTGTATGGTAAGTTTACTGTTATTGTCATTTTATGTGCTGCTTTTATGTGTGTTTTATGCTTTTAGCTTTATATTTTACTCCTACGCTAACTTCGTTGTGTGAGTCTTTCGCTCTCCTGTACAGCACTTTGGTTAGCTGCCATGCTAATTTTAAATGTGCTCTATAAATAAACTGGTATGGTAATGTTAGAAAAACACAATAGAAACTCTTTCAACATTTTTTACACACATAAATTATTTAGGTTTTTAGAGTTATTTTTGTGAGAAAGGTTTTTTTCCAAACCAAGTGACATCAGCTGAGGGAGTCCTGTTAGCTTAATCCAGAGAAAAATATGGATTCTAATGTTCAGATTTAGAAAAAATAGCCTTTTTAGAAGCTTTGCTGGGAAAGGCCGCTTTTTACTAGAAACAGTCTGCAGTTATGTATTTTAAAACCAAAAATCCACAATAGGGATTTCTAATAGTATTTTTTGGACAGCATTTTATATGAATTAGAAAAAAATTACCTGCAATTTGGTTTTTAATGTTTGATTTCTAACCTTTCAGACCTGAGCAGCCTGGTGATCCTGGAGCTAGAGGGAAACATGCTGAGTGAAGGGAATGTTGATCCTAAAGCCTTCACTCCTCTAATAGAGCTTTCCTACCTCAGACTGGGAAGGAATCATTTCAGAATGGTTCCACAGGGTCTGCCCAGGTCTCTACTGGTATGACTTCTCTAATCTGTAAAGGAGCCATTTCTCTGTTTTTCAAAACCCAAGAAGCTGCTTGGACCCAGTCCTTCATCCAACTAACCCTAAAACAGAACTGTTAACCGCTTCCAGTCGGCGACAAGATGGCGCCTGTGCTTGGCTTAGCCGCAGTCACCGCCCACTTTTTCAAACTTTTCTCCACTAACCTCCTCTTTTCCACCTTGCTCCTGTCTGCGATCCTCTTCAGTAGTGTCCCTGCTTTTGTATGACCTTATTCAACCCCTCTCTCTTTATTCTGCTCTCCCCGCCTATTCCACCTTCCTCAGGATCCACTGATTTCCCTCTTTCCTATTCACTCTCTCTCTTTCTTAATATTTTTTCTTTTAAATCCCAATTGCCTATTTCTGCTCATTTTAAATATATTTTTAAACATTTTCTAAATGCTTTTTTATATTTTAACATTTTTTTTGTTTTTGTGAAGCGCCTCGTGATTTTTATCTTGAGAGGCGCTATAGAAATGATATTTTCTTCTTCTTCTTCTTAAGATTTATACAGTAATGCCACTACCATTTAGCTAACCAGACCAGACTAAAGCTAACAGCTAACCAGACCAGGCTAAACATGAACGCAAACCAGGCCAGGCCAGGCTAAAGCTAACAGCTAACCAGACCAGGCTAAACATGAATGCTAACCAGGCCAGGTTAAAGCTAACAGCTAATCAGACCAGGCGAAAGCTAAAAGCTAATCAGACCAGGCTAAACATGGATGCTAACCAGGCCAGGCTAATGCCAAAAGCTAACCAGACCAGGCTAAACATGAACACTAACCAGACCAGGATAAAGCTAACAGCTAACCAGACCAGGCTAAAGCTACCAGGCTAAACATGAATGCTAACCAGGCCAGGCTAAAGCTAAAAGCTAACCAGACCAGGCTAAATATGAACGCTAACCAGGCCAGGCTAAAGCTAAAAGCTAACCAGACCAGGCTAAACATTCACGCTAACCAGGCCAGGCTAAAGCTAAAAACTAACCCGTCAGAACACTTTATATCCAGTACCCCTCTAAAGCAAGATTTTAATAGTTAGAGTTTTCATTAGATTCTATTTAGTTTTGGATTTTGGTTCCATTTTAGATTTAATTGCTATTTTATTTTTCTTTGTTTTGCTAGATGAGTTTTTGATTTGAAAATTCATAGTTTCAGTTGAGTTTTTAGTTTCTGTTATAGTTCTAATATCTTTTATGATAAGAGTTACACACCAGGGGCAAGACTGGAAAATAGTAGTTGCTTATCCATCCATCAGAACCGCAAGGACTTCTAAGTTTTGTAATTTTGTTCGTTTTTGTTAATGATATTGAACCTAGCTCTACAGAGGATTAGACTGAACCCATTCTTGTTTTTCAGGAGCTGTATCTTGAGAACAACCTAATTGAAGAAATCTCGGAGACCGCTTTTAATCAGACCAGTAACCTAAACGTAGTTTCTCTCAGACACAACAAACTGGATGAGACCATGATTGCCCCAATGGCCTGGTTCAACCACAGGTCAGACAGAAATAGACCCCTCTCCAGACCATTAAAGATCTCCTTTAATTCATATAATTAGTTTCATGTATCCTCTCGTGTAGAAACCTGGAGTCTATTGACCTGTCGCATAACAAGCTGCACCTGGTCCCGTCGTTCCTGCCCAAATCTCTGGTCCACTTGGTTCTGGTAGGAAACAGAATTGAGAGGATACCTGGTAGGTACAAGAAACATACCCAACACTCAAAAATCTTGCTGACTGAAGCTATGTATATATATATATATATATATATATATATATATATATATATATATATATATATATATATATATATATATATATATATATATATATATATATGTATATATAATCTTACTTTTAGTTGGCCTCTCTAAATAATTTTTTATGCTTGTGAAGCACCTTGTTATTATCTTGAAAAGCACTGTATAAAAAACTCATTTAAAACAATGAATTGTACACTAATGTTTTAAATAAATGATGGTGGTGGTAAGTTTGGAGTCAAAAGATGAAAAAAGAACTCTAAAGTTCTTCATGAAAGATCTGATGATGAGATAGAAATGTAACTTCCTACCTTCATTCTAATCGTATAAAACTAATGATTAGAGATAATTTTTTATTCTTCATGATTCACTCTGATCCCTCCACAGGTTTTGTCTTTGCCCACATGGATCCTGGTCTGGAATACCTCTACCTGTCCTTCAACAAGCTGGATGGAGAAGGAGTGGAACCCGAGTCATTCTTTGGTGTTTACCACACCATGACAGAGATGTGTCTGGATCACAATCAGCTGATCCACGTTCCTGTTGGAATCAGTGAAATGACCAACTTACACTTCCTCCGACTGGACAACAACCAGATCAGGTAAAAGCAATCAAATGGAGCTCCACCCACAGCCAACCTGTTTGGTTACACTGATTAAAAACAGAGTCCTGACGCCGGCCAGAAGCAAACTGGATGTTCTGGGCTTCTCCAGAACTCACAGATGGCCAGTCTGCACATGACGTTTTTCACCACCCTCTATGTATATGTACATGTTCTGCATTATCAGAAAGCTGAGATTCTTGAGAGTTTAATGGTGCTTAAGGATACAATCACAACTATACACACACAAAAACACTTTGGTTAAAACACTGAGAAATTTAGAATCATGTCCAGCTCAGCGTTGAGGACCATCTCATCCACAGCGGTCTATTACAGAAATGAATTAGATGGTCATGAAAATGTATCATTTTCTGTTTATCTAGGATCATATTATTGTAGCGTTTACACAGGTTTAGACTGTTTGCTCTCCATAGGAACCTGAACCATGCTTTTAATCTACATGGTTCAACAGCACCTCTCCTTTTAATTTGGAACTGCTTTAAAAAAATATTGTTGGTAAAAATAGCAGTAATTTAAAGGGTTTAAATGTACTTAAAGTCCTCTACCATCTTTATGTGGGGTAACAGTAGTTCAGGGGTTAGGAGTTCACGGCCCCATGTTGCAAGGATCCGTACACAATTATTGGAAGCTGAAAATATCCCAGTTCTTGCATGGCCAGCATACTCACTGGACATGTCACCCATTGAGCATGTTTGGGATGTGCTTGACTGGCGTATACGACAGTGTGTACCAGTTCCCACTAATATCCAACAACTTCGCACAGCCATTGAAGAGGAGTGAACCAACATTCCACAGGCCACAATTGACAATCTGATAAACTCTATGCGAAGATGTGTTGCACTGCATGACGCAAATGATGGTCACACCAGATACTGACCGGTTCTGAGTCCCCAGACCCCCAATAAAGCAAAAAACGACACATTCCAGGGTGGCCTTTTATTGTGGGCAGTATAAGGTACACCTGTGCACTACTCATGATGTCAGATCAGCATCTTGATGTGGCACACCTGTGAGGTGGGATGGATTATCTCAGCAAAGCACAGGTGCTCACTATCACACATGTAGACTGATTTGTAAACAATGCTTGAGAGAAATGGTAATATTGTGTATCTGGAATGAATTTTAGATCTTTAACCCCCAGAGACCCAAATTTAGAAAACAACTGCAAAATCTTTTTTTAACCTTTCACATGTTGTTCTAGGAGGCCAGATAAACGGGCCTATTTACACATTTTAACATCCAATAGTGTTGCAGAACTGAACAATAGGACCTATTGGCAATGTAAATGTGGTTTTAAAAAGAAAAAAAAAATGGGGAAGGTTTATTTTTGTAGACTTAAATCTGATGTTGTAATATTACAACCGTGGGTCTCCTGGGGGTTAAGTCCATCTCATGAAAAATTGGAGCAGAAACAAAGGTGTTGCGTTTATATTTTTGTTGAGTGTATTAATAACAGCCCATGTCTTTTTTTATTGTATTGTCCAATTCAAACTCATCACTGTCATATGGATGCTCATCTGTCCTGGCTTTTGGTTGGAGCTAGGCGGACGTTTAGCTGACTGCTGTTTATTTTTGAATTTTCCATTGTTAATACCATTTAAATCTTTACAATATTTGTAGAGCAGATTAGATTTTATTTTGATAAGCTGTTTTTAAATAGGAAGCTGGCTTTTTCTGTCTGAGCTCCAAAGAACCGGAACAACTTACCAGCTGCTTTAAGGTCTCTTACCTCCCTTTGTTTGTTTGAAACTTCTGTACATGAACATGTTACGTCCTACTGTACTTGTTTTTTTTATTTTTTGAACACCTACTTTATCTTAAGCTATATACTTTTCTGTGCATTTGATTGATTTTCAGGAATGCTTTGGATTGTTTTACCTATATATACTTAGGATGTGCCATGATAGGAGTTGTGATTTTTTTTGTTTGTGGTTGTTTTAGAATAGTCTTTTCTTATATTTTGTTTTCTAGTTGTACTGTAAGAGGACCCATTCGAAAATGAGATGGGACATCTCAAGCGGTTTGTCCTCTTAAAAGATAAGTTTATGAAAAAAATAAATAGTAGAATCAGGCCAAGTCGCAGTTTTGTTTGAACGAACGCCTTATTCTAACATCCCTCAGGCCATGCAGTACCAGGGCAGCCTAGATCAAAGGTCAGTGATCGACTTTGTAGTCATGTCTCTGACTTGAGCCCATATGTTTTGGACACTCGGCTAAAGGGAGGAGCAGAGCTGTCAGCTGATCACTACCTGGTGTTGAGTTGGTTATGCTCAGATGGGCAGAACTCCACATAGACCTGGTAGGCCCAGACGAGTAGTTAGGGTCTACTGGGAATCCCACCAAGAAAACCAGTTAAACAGCAGCAAATAGTTTGAACTGTTATTCTTAGTGTTTTTATCCATATTCTTGTGTTGTTTTCAGGAGCATCTCTGATGAAAGCATTTGCGACCCGAACCACAGCGGGGAAGCAACATTGGTGGGAGTGAGGATTGAGAACAACTACATCGACCCTCAGAAGGTCTCTCCTACAGCCTTCTCCTGTGTGCGCTCTGCCTCCAGCGTAGTTTTAAAACCCCAGAAAACCAAATAGGCTAAATGATGTCAGTTTGAGGCCTGAGAACACAAAGCATTTGGATTCCAATCAGCCTAAAAAGATCCTCAGATTCTCCTGATGGGTGGAGCGATTAACAGGATCAAAACTGGCCTCCAGAACACGAGGTGCAGAACATTTAGCGTCAAAGTGGGGGTAGGGTTAAAGGAATTTGCCTTCTGGGAACATTCTGTCTGATATGTTTGGACTTCATTTTTATAAGAAGTGAGTAATACTTTCTTTCACTCAGTTCTGACATGTTGTTTTGGGTTGGGTAGGTTGCTATGCTCAGTCCCACGGCCCAGATGACAGAATTCTTCCAGCCATTAGAACCCAAACACAGCTTCCCACTTTGGTGTAATGTTCAACTCTCTAAACTGCAGCAGAAATTGTTAAATACTAATAAAGAAATGGAAAGAATTTGTCTGCAGTGAGACTCAGCCTCAGCACCTTCAGGTTCGCTCTGCTCCGTCTCCAGCCTGGAGAGGGGGGAACATGTCCTTTTAACCTTAACTTCCTCTGATGATGCTCAGCAGATGAGTCTCTGAGTGGTTTGAGGTCAAAGGTCGACAGAGAAATGCTGAACAACATGCATCTACACAGACCCAAAGACAACAAACAAGAAGGCTTGTGGGTTCTGACACTTGTCATTCAGAACCAGTAGAAACCAACCACTTGAGCTACAGACGCTCGTCATTTGGATCAGAACATAGTCGGACTTCATGGTCAACATAAATCCGGGTTCCTCCATGGTTTTCTCTGGTTCACCTTCTTTGTACCACCTCTGAAGATCAGTGTTCTGGCTCATCTGTCTAACCACCTTAGTTGTCATAAAGTTCTGGTTGATCTATTTCATCAACTCAGTTGAGGAGGAATTGAAAGCTCCTGTTTCTAACAGTTAATGAAACAAATATTTTAGGCAACATGTCTTTTTGTGGAGCAGCAGGTTCGAACGGGACCCTGATACGGTCTCAGGTCACTTATTTTCAAGTTGTTGTTTATTTGCTGGTTCTGATTGCTCTTTGAGGTTCTGGGTCTCTGTTCTCTTGTATGCATCTGTTGTTGTTTGGAAAAACCCAAATCACCAGTCATGGTTCTGTTTGACTTTCTCCTAAACTCTAAATGTTCTAAGAATAAAATGTTCTAGTCACAACTCTACTTATGTAAATGTGTCGTGTTTAAATGACATAAGACTTCAAACGTCAACTCTGAAGTCCCGGTCCTCAAGCAGAAAAAGATGGAATGTTACCTCCAGGATTCTTGTTCCTGAGTGATGGTGGGATGTAGGAGATGAGGATAGATTGATCAGGAATTAATCTGCAGTCATAAAGACGGTTAGTGGTGGTGTTACGGGATTAATAACAGGATTAGTTACGGGAACAATAACAGGATTAGTTAAAGAAACAATAACAGGATTAGTTATGGGACTAATAACAGGATTAGTTACAGGACTATTAACAGGATTAGTTATGGAAAAAATAATAGGATTAGTTATAGAATTAATACCAGGATTAGTTACGGGATTAATAAAATGATCAGTTACGGGATTAATAACAGGATTAGTTATGGGAACAATAACAGGACTCGTTACGGGAACAATAACAAAATTAGTTACAGGAATAATAATAGGATTAGTTACAGGTTTAATAACAGAATTAGTTACGGGATTAATAACAGGATTAGTTATGGGAACAATAACAGGATTAGTTACGGGATTATTAAAAGGATTAATTACAGGAACAATAACAGGATTAGTTACGGGAACAATAACAGGATTAAGTAAGAGATTATTAACAGGATTAGTTATGGAAACGATAATAGGATTAATAACAGGATTAGTTACGGGAACAATAACAGGATTAGTTACGGGATTATTAATAGGATTAGTTACAGAGACAATAACAGACTAGTTACGGGAACAATAACAGGATTAAGTAAGGGATTATTAACAGGATTAGTTATGGAAACGATAATAGGATTAGTTATAGGATTAATAACAGGATTAGTTACGGGAACAATAACAGGATTAGTTATGGGATTAATAACAGGATTTGTTACGGGAACAATAACAAGATTAGTTACAGGAATAATAATAGGATTAGAAGCAGGATTAATAACAGAATTAGTTACAGGATTAATAACAGGATCAGTTACGGGATTAATAACAGGATTAGTTACGGGAATAATAACAGGATTCGTTATGGGAACAATAACAGGATTAGTTACAGTTATAATAATAGGATTAGTTACTGGATTAATTCCAGAATTTGTTAGAGGATTAATACCAGGATTAGTTGAAGGATTAATAACATGGTTAGTTAAGGGATTAATGACAGGGTTATTTTAAGGATTATTAACATGATTATTTACAGGATTAATAACAGGATTAGTTAGGTAAATAACATGATTGTTTACAGGACTAATACCAGGATTAGTTACGGGACTATGGGATTAGATAGGATTAGTTTCGGGAATAATAACAGAATTAGTCACAGGATTAATAACAGGATTTGTTACTGGATTAATAACAAGATTAGTGACAGGACTAATAACAGAATTAGTTACGGGAATAAAAAAAGGATTAGTTACAGGATTAAAAACAGGATTAGTTACGGAATTAATAACAGGACTACCTACAGGATTAATAGCAGGATTAGTTAATGGAATAATTACAAGACTAGCTAAAGGATTAATAGCAAGATTAGTTACATGAATAATAACAAGACTAGCTACAGGATGAGTAGCAGGATTAGCTACAGGATTAATAACAGGATTAGTTACGGGATTGGTTACAGGAATTATAGCAGGATTAGCTACATGATTAATACCAGGATTAGTTGTGGGATTAATAACAGGATTTGCTACAGGATTAATAGCAGGATTAGCAACAGGATTACTAACAGGATTAATAAAATGATTAGTTACGGGATTAATAACATGATTAATTACAGGAATTATAGCAAGATTAGCTACAGGATTATTAACAGTATTAGTAACATAATTAATAACAGGATTAGTTACGGAAACAATAACAGGATTAGTTACAGGACTAATAACAGGATTAGTTACGGGATTAATAACAGGATTAGCTTCGGAATTAATAACAGGATTAGTTACAGGAATTATAGCAGGATTAGCTACAGGATTAATAGCAGGATTTGTTACAGGATTATTAACAGGATTAGTTAAGGGATTAATAACAGGATTATTTTAAGGATTATTAACATGATTAGTTACAGGATTAATAACAGGATTAGTTACGTAAATAATAACATGATTGGTTACAGGACTAATACCAGGATTAGTTACGGGACTATGGGAATAATAACAGAATTAGACACAGGATTAATAACAGGATTTGTTACAGGATTAATAACAAGATTAGTGACAGGACTAATATCAGAATTAGTTACCGGAATAATAATAGGATTAGTTACAGGGTTAATAACAGGATTACCTACAGGATTAATAGCAGGATTAAGTTACTGGAATAATAACAAGACTAGCCAAAGGATTAATAGCAGGATTTGTTAATGGAATAATAACAAGACTAGCTAAAGCATGATTAGTTACATGAATAATAACAAGACTTGCTACAGGATTAATAGCAGGATTAGTTAATGGAATAATAACAAGACGAGCTAAAGGATTAATAGCAAGATTAGTTACATGAATAATAACAAGACTAGCTACAGGATTAATAGCAGGATTAGCTATAGGATTAATAGCAGGATTAGTTGTGGGATTAATAACATGATTGGCTACAGAATTAATAGCAGGATTAGCTACAGGATTAATAACAGTATTAGTTATGGGATTAATAACAGGATTGGCTACAGAATTAATAGCAGGATTAGCTACAGGATTAATAACAGTATTAGTTGTGGGATTAATAACAGGATTAGCTACGGGATTAATAGCAGGATTAGCTGCAGGATTAATAACAGGATTAGTTACAGAAATTATAGCAGGATTAGCTACAGGATTAATACCAGGATTAATTACGGGATTAATAACAGGATTAGTTATGGGATTAATAACAGGATTAGTTACGTAAATAATAACATGATTGGTTACAGGACTAATACCAGGATTAGTTACGGGACTATGGGAATAATAACAGGATTAGTTTCGGGAATAATAACAGAATTAGTCACAGGATTAATAACAGGATTTGTTACTGGATTAATAACAAGATTAGTGACAGGACTAATAACAGAATTAGCTATGAGAATAATAATAGGATTAGTTACATGACTAAAAACAGGATTAGTTACGGGAATAATAACAGCACTACCTACAGGATTAATAGCAGGATTAGTTACTGGAATAATAATAAGACTAGCTAAAGGATTAATAGCAGGATTAGTTAATGGAATAATAACAAGACGAGCTAAAGGATTAATAGCAAGATTAGTTACATGAATAATAACTCTAGCTACAGGATTAATAGCGGGATTAACTATAGGATTAATAGCAGGATTAGTTATGGGATTAATAACAGGATTGGCTACAGAATTAATAGCAGGATTAGCTACAGGATTAGTTATGGGATTAATAACAGGATTGGCTACAGAATTAATAGCAGGATTAGCTACAGGATTAATAACAGTATTAGTTATGGGATTAATAACAGGATTAGCTACGGGATTAATAACAGTATTAGTAACATAATTAATAACAGGATTAGTTACGGAAACAATAACAGGATTAGTTACAGGACTAATAACAGGATTAGTTACGGGATTAATAACAGGATTAGCTTCGGAATTAATAACAGGATTAGTTACAGGAATTATAGCAGGATTAGCTACAGGATTAATAGCAGGATTTGTTACAGGATTATTAACAGGATTAGTTAAGGGATTAATAACAGGATTATTTTAAGGATTATTAACATGATTAGTTACAGGATTAATAACAGGATTAGTTACGTAAATAATAACATGATTGGTTACAGGACTAATACCAGGATTAGTTACGGGACTATGGGAATAATAACAGAATTAGACACAGGATTAATAACAGGATTTGTTACAGGATTAATAACAAGATTAGTGACAGGACTAATATCAGAATTAGTTACCGGAATAATAATAGGATTAGTTACAGGGTTAATAACAGGATTACCTACAGGATTAATAGCAGGATTAAGTTACTGGAATAATAACAAGACTAGCCAAAGGATTAATAGCAGGATTTGTTAATGGAATAATAACAAGACTAGCTAAAGCATGATTAGTTACATGAATAATAACAAGACTTGCTACAGGATTAATAGCAGGATTAGTTAATGGAATAATAACAAGACGAGCTAAAGGATTAATAGCAAGATTAGTTACATGAATAATAACAAGACTAGCTACAGGATTAATAGCAGGATTAGCTATAGGATTAATAGCAGGATTAGTTGTGGGATTAATAACATGATTGGCTACAGAATTAATAGCAGGATTAGCTACAGGATTAATAACAGTATTAGTTATGGGATTAATAACAGGATTGGCTACAGAATTAATAGCAGGATTAGCTACAGGATTAATAACAGTATTAGTTGTGGGATTAATAACAGGATTAGCTACGGGATTAATAGCAGGATTAGCTGCAGGATTAATAACAGGATTAGTTACAGAAATTATAGCAGGATTAGCTACAGGATTAATACCAGGATTAATTACGGGATTAATAACAGGATTAGTTATGGGATTAATAACAGGATTAGTTACGTAAATAATAACATGATTGGTTACAGGACTAATACCAGGATTAGTTACGGGACTATGGGAATAATAACAGGATTAGTTTCGGGAATAATAACAGAATTAGTCACAGGATTAATAACAGGATTTGTTACTGGATTAATAACAAGATTAGTGACAGGACTAATAACAGAATTAGCTATGAGAATAATAATAGGATTAGTTACATGATTAAAAACAGGATTAGTTACGGGAATAATAACAGCACTACCTACAGGATTAATAGCAGGATTAGTTACTGGAATAATAATAAGACTAGCTAAAGGATTAATAGCAGGATTAGTTAATGGAATAATAACAAGACGAGCTAAAGGATTAATAGCAAGATTAGTTACATGAATAATAACACTAGCTACAGGATTAATAGCGGGATTAACTATAGGATTAATAGCAGGATTA